TTTTTGTCTTTACTTTTGTTGTTGAGTTCTAGTTTATTTGCATTGTGATCAGATAGAATGCATGGTATAATTTCTTTCTTTATTTGCTGAGGCTTGCTTTGTGCCCTAGGATATGATCTTTTTTGGAAGAAGGTTCCATGGGCTGCTGAGAAGAATGTATATTGTGTAGAAGTTGGATGAAATGTTCTGTAGACATCAAGTAGGTCATTTGATCTATTGTATATTTTAGATCTAGGATTTCTTTATTGATTTTTTGTTTGGATGACCTATCTATTGATGAAATGGGGTGTTAAAGTCTCCCACAACCACTGTGTTGGAGTTAATATATGCTTTTAGGTTCCGGTGTGTTTGATGAAATTGGGTGCATATAGGTTGATAATTGTTATTTCCTTTTGGTCTATTTCCCCTTTTATTAGTATGGAATGTCCTTCTTTATCGTTTGATCAAAGGTTTGAAGTCTACTTTGTCAGAGATAAGTATTGCTACTCCTGCCTGTTTTCGGGGGCCATTGGCTTGGTAAATCTTCTTCCAGCCTTTCATCCTAAGCCTATGCTTATTTCTGTCAGTGAGATGGGTCTCCTGTAAGCAACAAATTGTTGGATCTTCCTTTTTAATCCATTTCGTCAAAGTGCCTTTTGATGGGGAATTAAGTCCTTAACATTAAGTGTTAGTACTGATAGGTATGTGGTGATTCCTGTCATTTAGTTGTCTTAGTTGTTTGAAGGTTTGATTGTGTGTACCTAAGTTGAGGTTACTCTCTACTGTCTTGGTTTTTCTTTGCCTGTAGTTTGGTGCTGCCTGCCCTTTCACAGTTATGTTGGGTTTCACTTTCTTCTGCAGAACCCTTGAAGAATCTTTTGTAGTGGTGGCTTTGTGTTCACATATTGTTTTAGTTTCTGCTTATCATGGAAGACTTTTATTGCTCCATCTATTTTGAATGATAGTTTTGCTGGGTAGAGTATCCTGGGGTTGAAGTTACTTTCATTCAGTCAGATCTCACCCAGCTCTTCTTGCTTTTAATGTTTCTGTTGAGAAGTCTGCTGTGATTTTGATGGGTTTACCTTTGTATGTTATTTGTTTTTTCTCTCTTACAGCCTTCAATATTCTTTCCCTAGTTTCTGTACTTGTTGTTTTAATGATGATATGCTGTAGTTCTATTTTGATCTGGTCTGTTTGGTGTTCTGGAGGCCTCTTGCATCTTATGGGAATAGATTTCTCTAGATTTGGGAAAATTTTCTGTTATTATTTTTTGTTGAATATATTGCATTCCCTTTGCTTGCACCTCTTCTCCTTCTTCGATGCCCATGATTCTCAAGTTTGGTTTTTGATGGAGTCAGTGAGTTCTTGCATTTTCTTTTCACAGGTCTTGAGTTGTTTAATTAATAGTTCTTGGTTTTTCCTTTAATTACCATTTCATCTTGAGTTCTGAGATTCTGTCTTCTGTTTGTTCTATTCTGCTGGATTGGCCTTCCATTTTGTTTTGCAATTCTGTTTCGTTCTTTTTTCTGAGGTTTCCATATCCTGGTTTCCTCTTTAATGTTGTCTATTTTTGTCCTGAGTTCATTTATCTCTTTATTAATCGTGTTCTTGTTTCACTTTGGTGTTTATACAGTGCTTCTATGGTTTCTTTATTTCTTCTTTGCTTTTTCAAATTTCTCTATTTTTGTTGTCTTGGAATTTCTTGAGTGTTCTCCTGTACATTTTGGTTGACCATATCCAGTATCATCTCTATAAAATTCTCATTGATTACCTGTATATTTCTTCTTTTAGATTCTTGTGGGCTTTATTGGGTTCTTTGGCATAGTTTATCTTCATTTTGTTGGAGTCTGGATCTGAGTATCTGTTTTCTTCATTTCCCTCTGGTTCCTGTACTAATTTTTTGCTGTGGGAAACTGGTTTCCCTGTTTTTTTGTCTTCCCATCATTGCCCTTGTGTTTTATTGTCCCTGTACTGTGCAATTAAGTATTTTCTAGCTTGTAATAATAACAATGGTGATATTTAGAATGGAAGGGTGAGAGGAGATGGAAAGCAAAGAAGTTAAAGAAAAAGGGAAAAACAAATAAACAAGTAGAAAAAACAAAACAAACAAAAGTTTCAAAGATATAAACAGGGAGAGATAGTATACTATTCAACAATAAGCTGAACAGGCATTAGAGAGACAGAGAGAGGATTGAAAATAAGAAATAAAAGTAAATAAAAATTAAAAATAAATGAATGAAAAAAAAATCTTCAAGTTCAAATGCAATAAGGTTTCAGTCTTAATAATTTTGGTGTTGATCCCTCAGCCTCCAGTCCTGGAGATGGTGTCTCAGAAGTAGTTCTGTCGTTGTCTCATCAAGGGGGAAAAAAACTTAAAAAACCAAAACAAAACTACACAAAACAAAAAAAAAACTCCACAAAGTGTCCCAAGTTCAAATGCAATACAGTTTCAGTAAGTTTTTCAGCATGCAGGTGTAGTTCAGTTGTTGTCTCATCAAAGGAAGAGAGAAAAAAAAAAAGAGTCTGGAGACAGTTCTGTGAATGGCTATCTGAGGCTGTGGCTCACCTGCCGGACATATCTCATTTCTCATCATACTTTTGTTCTGCAATAAGTATTGCTATGATATTTGCCTAAAGGTGATTTTATATTTTCATCAGTCCTTTAATATTTATTGATAGCAATTCCACTGCAAGAAAGAGCTATCCCTCTCCCACCCATATTTTCTTAATTAATTACTTGTATCACTGTGGTGTCATGGATATTTATTTTGTTCTATGGCCTGTGATTCATTACCATATTTATTTTTGTTGTTCAGATTGCCCCACATTTGGCCATTGGTTCAATTTGGTTCCTGTGTCCTTTCAACTTCCCCCTACTATTTTTTGAGTACTTCCTGTACAACAAGATGTTCCAAACTCATCTTTACTATTATTGTCCCACCCCTGCAATCAATTATTTCTCCAAAGAATCGTGGTTTCTTTTATCCATCCCCTTAGTTTTTAAAAACATAGTTCTGAGCATAAAAACTCTCTTTCTACCTACTGACTAAATTCAGACCACTTGCCTAGCATTCAGAAATATGTGTTCAGGGCCTGGAAGTGTAGCTCAGGTGGCAGAGCACTTGCTTGGCAATCACAACACCCTGATTCAAGCCCCAGTGCTGCTCCTCACCAAAAAAGAAACCAAAAAACAAAGAAAACTGTATACACACATAAGTATCCATGCTCTCATCCTTAACCTTATATTTTAAACTTCTTCCTTCAGGCACCCTACCCTTAAAAACTACGGTAAAGGGGACCAGGAACTAGAGAAAAGGTTAGATCAAAAAGAATTAACCTAGAAGGTAACACACATGCACAGGAATTCAATGTGAGTCAATGCCCGTATTAGCATTATCCTTATCCTCAACCAGCAAAAACCTTGTTCCTCCTTATATTGCCTTTATACTCTCTCTACAACAAAATTAGAGATAAGGGCAAAATAGTTTCTGCTGGGTATTGGGGGGGGAGAGGCGAGGGGCGGATGGGTGGTAAGGGAGGGGTGGTCAAGGGCGGAGAAATGACCCAAGCCTTTTATGCACATTGAATAATAAAAGAAAAAAAAAAAAAGAAAAAGAAAAAATCACCCTGGGGGGGGCGGGAAATTAAACCTAAGAACTAAACACACATGCACAGGGAAATTAATGTAGAATCAGCTCCCTAATAAGCTATCCTTATCTCAACTAGCAAAACCGTTGTTCCTTTCCTATTATTGCTATATACTCTCTCTTCAACAAAAATAGAGATAAGGGCAAAATAGTTTCTGCCAGCGTATTCGAGGGGGTTGGGGAGAGAGGAGGGGTGATTGCGGTGTAAGGGAGGGGGTGAGGGCAGGGGGGAAAAATGACCCAAACATTGTATGCACATATGAATAATAATAATAATAATTTAAAAAATAAAAAGGAACACTACTTTGGCAAAAAAAAAAAAAAACTACAGTAAGTTAATCATTTCATATTTCAGCCAGTTGAGACAGAACTTTCCTTGTGAATCTGTTACCAATTCTAATTGGGAATTAGTTTTTTTTCTTCTGAAATTTTATTGTACATTTGCTTTCCTTATTTCATTTGTTATGCATTCTTTCCATTAGGCTTTTGTCACATTGGTCACATCTCTCACTACCTTGCTTGAAAGTTCTTGTGAGCAAAATCTGTGTATTACTATTCTTATTCACCTTTTTATTCCATGTGGTGCACATACTAGGCATTCAGTAAACATTTGTCATATGGATTATTGGAAAGAACCAAAGTCAGTGAAGAACCAGAAACAGAACTTAGGTTTCAATGCTGTTACTGCCACAGAGAGATAACCACATTACTGCTAGAAACTTGGGTCTACGGACATTCTGGTAGATTGATCTTTATCAACCTATTTTTGCAGCCTAAATTTGTAACACTGAAGTTAGAAAAACTCCTTTTGGAGTTTAGTGCAGCTAGTTCCTCTAGCCATTTGAGCTATATCTTTGAGATTCTGTCCTGCTGAAAAAGAAGAGTGGTCTTTGCCAAAGCTTGGTGGTCAAATGAGTGACTCATGATATGAGATCTTATTTCTTTGGAACACCAAACAATTTGGAGCCTCAAAATGTATTTTTTTTCCCTTTTCATGATTTCAGAGACAGTTTTTTTGTGCCAGCCAAGCTACAAGTCTCCCAAATCTTGATCTATAAAGAACTATTTGATGACAGAGGAGGATGTATCTCAGGAAAACAAAGCTTGAACTGAGGTGGTTGTTTTGTTTTGCATACAGCATGAAAACAAAAGTCTGACCTCCTTTCCGGGGAAAGGAAGCTCTCCTTAAGAAATATCTAATAAAGTTAAAAAACCATAATGATGTAGCTTGAATAGAGAACATCTTCTAAATTTGCTCAGTGAGTGGGGAAAGATGGATCTTAGTAGTCCAGTCATGTACAGTGCTGGTGTGCTAGAATGGGAGTATAGCCACAAATTTTTGTTCACACAGATTTTCCCATTCTCTCTCCTAAGGTGGATCACTTGGATAAGAATGGGCAGTGTGCTTTGGTTCATGCTGCACTCCGAGGTCATCTGGAGGTTGTCAAGTTTCTGATTCAATGTGACTGGACAATGGCTGGCCAGCAGCAAGGAGTGTTCAAAAAGAGCCATGCCATCCAACAGGCCCTCATTGCTGCAGCCAGCATGGGTTACACTGAGGTAAGATATTATGATTATTTTACTAAGCTATGTATTGAAGGGCCTAGGAAACTGGGAGAAAAAATTTATTATTTCAATGTTGCAAAATTGCCAGCAAAATAAATATGAATTTTTGGTCACTACTCTGAGGAATAAGATTAAAGTCTATGAGGTACTTGACTACTCAAATGCCAAGGTACCTAGAATTGTGCACATAGAGCAATAAAAGTTGGAAAGGACTTCGGAAATTATCTAACCCAGTTCTCTCTATATCCATCCCTGTTTATCAGACAGTGATAAATAATAATACATATATGGAACTGGCAGTATGCAATCAAATGTTCAACAACTAGTGCTGAGGAAGGGAGAAAGGTAAAGCAGGTGTGTGTGTACATACATGCTTAAGTTTATTACAAATTTTTCTAAATATGTTGTACACGCTTTAGAAATAATAATGATATGTGCATACTCTTAACCGAGTGCTCTTGTTGGTTCTTGCCAAATTTGTATCTTTAGCATATGGTTGCAACCTAAGCATGATTTTTCAAATGGAGTTGCATCCCAGTTTTCTAACTCTTTTCCCAATAATTTTACCACCATTAAATCTGATATATGATCTACAGTTAAACTCTTACCTTTGTACAATTTATATTAATTCAAAACCTCTTTCAGTTTTAACTATAAACCACATTTTTCATTTTTCCTGGTCATACACCCATTTATTTTTCACTTTGTCTCCATTTGTTTTCCTCACATTTACCATGCTCTGAATTCTAAAGTTCTTTGCAATGCTCAAATTCTATGACTGTACAAAAGTGGATAGAATACTATAATGAACCCTCATGTACCTATCACTGAACTACACAATTATTGTACTATAACCACTTTAAAACAACTCTTGATTTGTAATGTTTGCCAATTTCAGGGGGTAAATACTCCCACTATGGATGATTTCAAGCTACCAGTGTGAAATCACTGAACACAAGATAGGAAAAGATGCACAATAGCACACCATTAAGTGATAGTTATACCATTCAGATGCAATAAGTATGAATAACATCAATAGCATAGATAATAGTAAGATGTAGTCACATAATTAGGAAGTTGTAAAATTTTTTGAATTTTTTTTGTTTTTTCCCTTGTTTATTTTTTGTGGTGCTGGGTATCAAATCCAAGACCTCACATAGTCTAGGCAAGCATTGCACCACTGAGCTAAGCATTCCCAGAACAGATTTAAGTATTTTTACCCTTTGTTTTTAATATAACTTAATTGATATTTAATTCTTAATAAATGACTGGCTTTGTTTAACAACCAACTTGCAAAAGTCCTGAAAAGTTAAACAGTCAACTCTCATTGGCTGCTACAAACCAGCTCCACCACTGTATGGGATGCTCCAGTGAAACAGCTACCCTGTCAACTAACATATTGATCTTAGTTGAAATTTTTATTATCTATGGAAGGTATTTTTAAACTCTGAGTACTGTCAAATTCCTGAAAACAGAGCTGTCATTTTTCTTTGTGGTTAGCAGTCATTCTCCCTTTTCCAGACCCAAACAGTCCTTAAATTACTGAGAGGAAAAGGGGAGATGATTGCTCTCCTCTGAAAAAATACAGTGCCTCAGTTTTCTCCATATTTGTTTTCTGCGGTCTAATTGGAAGGATAAGGAATTGCTTCTTAAACTTAAATAGGAAGAATATGTAATTTTTTTAATCACATGCTATGTAAGTGAATTATGTTCTAGAGAAATATATAAACTGTAACATATAAACTATATTTGATAGGACAAATATTCATCAGAATATTTGGGTTTCTTGGCTAGGACAATCAGTTCTCATTCTTTTTGTGTATAAGAGATTTAGTGATACTTGGGTAATCCAGATATCTTCCAAACCTCACAGGCTAGTTTCAGTAGCATAGTTTTCCACCTGAACTTTGAGCTTATACAACTTCTTGTTTCAGATTGTCTCCTACCTACTTGATCTTCCAGAAAAAGATGAAGAGGAAGTAGAGCGAGCACAGATCAACAGCTTCGACAGTCTGTGGGGAGAGACAGGTACTTCTCACAGACATTGTGTATTGTGATTGTGTGGACGTTCTGTATCTCACCCTTATTTTTTCTCTGACCCTTCTTTGGCACTCTTCTATCTTACAACTTTTGTGTTAAAGACTGTTAGAGACCAGTGCAGCCCAAGTAAAAAGATAAGCAATTTCCCTCTTTCAGTCCTCTTTCCCTTTGGATTCTCTATACCAAATGGGAAGTGTTGGCACATCCCAAAAAAATTTTCCCCACTCATTTCCAAATATTTTTTAAACCAAAAGTTTCCTTACAGTGTGCCAAACCAGAACAGAAAATAATTGTGGGCTTTCTCTTTTTTGTGTGATCTTGTAGTTTTCCCACCTCCCATTATAAATCAGGGGGTTACATTTTTATCCACATCTCTGACTTAACCTGATGTTATCACAGTAGAGTGTTATCTGACATAGTTAAGTATTACATTATGAATAAAGTTGCTGTCTAGATGCAAACTGAAGTTACCACCTTGTAAGGCCAGTCCCATACAATTCCTCTTGATATATAGGAATTGCAAAGCAGTTTTTTCTATTTGTACTTGCTATACAAATAGAAGCCTCTTCCTTGTGGCCTTTGCAGGAAATGATTTTTGTCTTTCCTCCAAGTCTGGACTGGAGCATCTGGAGAAACATTAATAACCTTTGATGTGTTTTTATGAAACCAGGGCAAGAAAAATGGTAGTAACCACAGATATGTGTCATATTTCCAGGAGAAATAGACCATCATTGAAATGGCCAATTTAGGGGAAATATTTTACTAAAAAAGAAGGGTATACATTTTGGTAAGGGTAAGAATATTATGAAAAATAAGAGAATTCATTTAAACTCTTGAACTCATTTAAAATATATAACAACCTATAGAATTTTTTTTTGTTTTTTCTCATGACAAAATTTTGTATTGTTTTCATGACTTCTTTAATATCATCACATGGAATGGTCCAAAGCTGAGGAATTTGTTTCTCAAACAATCCCTTCACTCTGTAAGAGCCAAAGGGAGCAGATGTAAGGCAGCTGCAGCTTAAGAGCCCATGACAGATTAAAGGAAAATGTGCAGCTGGAAACAGCTGCTATCTCTGGAACGCTACTCTGAGGGAAGCCAGAGGACAGACTGAGGGGAAGGGACTGGCCAGGTCATCAGCCGTTCTCTAGTGTCCATATGAGACTTACAGCTGCAAAAGGCACATGTTGGCTTACCTCTTCTGTTAACAAAACTTCCCAATGGTGATAATGGATAGAAATTATAAGACAAATAGTCATAATGATGAATAGCAAACACATTCTAACACTATATCTGAAAGAAATCTTTTAAAAGGTTCAAGAAGAATATGAACTAAATAGAGGATTTGTTTTTATCAGTATGACTTTCTTATTAGAATAAAACTTTATGGCCTTGAGGTTTTAAAACTTTCACACTTCAAAGTATGCAATAATTTTTATATTAATTTTCATGTACATGTACCATCTCAAAATTTTAAAACTCAAAACCTCATGTCAGTTTGTTTGTAATTTATTTATAATTTCTAAATCTATGAAAAATAATTTGATTCAAGAAATACTTTTAGAATGTTACCTCAGATATGTGAAAATGATCCTTGTATAATTTTTTAGCTGATGGGGTCTCATATCTGCTACTCTGACCTAAGTGACGAATTCTTACCTAAAGAAAATATGGTGATCATTATGTTTCTAACAATCTGTTTCACTTACTCTATCAAATCCAAGATATCACTGACTGTAAGAAACTAGAAACTGGGCACCACTGGCTCATGCCTGTAATTCTAGCTACTTGGAAGGCTTGGGTCAGGAGGATCACAGTTCATGCAGGCAAATAGTTCATGAAACCCCATTTCCAAAATAACCAGAGTAAAATGGATTGAAGGTGTGTCTCAAGAGGTACAGTGCCTCCTTTGTAAGCTCAAAGCCCTGAGTTCAAACTCCAGTCCCACTTAGAAAAAAAAAAGGGAGGGAAGAGGAAGAAGAAGAGAAAAGAGAACGAAAAGGAAGAAGGAAAGTACATAACCATTTTTACATTCCACTACAAAAACAAAAGACAGGGCTGGGAGTATGGCTCAAGTTGTAGAGCACTTGGTCCCTGAGTTCCACCCAAGAAAACCACAAAAAAGTTTCTGACAATTACACTGACACAATTCTTTACTGTCATATCAGTTGTAAGATTCATCTCAATTTCAGAGATGTTGCAGTGAGGGGCAGTGAATCTGAGAATCAATAAAATACATCTTAGCATTTCATAAAAATACTGAGATGAAATTTTTATGTATCATATTTTTTAAAAGCAGATCACTAGAATATCCTGGTCTCTTTTGTCTTCCTTTTGCAGCCTCTTTAATCCTTTCAGATTTAATCCTTTAATCCTTTTCAGGTAGTTTTCACCCATCTTGACTGACCCTCTCCCACAGGTTTTCATAGACCTTTTTATGGAACAACACAAGAAAAGCAGTAAATTGGCATGAATGTCCCTCCCATCTCTTCTGTTATAGACACAGACCAGAGTCAACATCAAGAGTTTCTACAACTCTAGAGGCTGGCTCTGGGAATAATGGCCCAAAAGAAGCCAAAGTTCACAAAATGAATTAGATTCCCTTAAGTTTTACCTAGATTATTGCAGCTACCTCTAAATGATCTTCCTGTCTGTAGCCTCACCCTTTTGTGATTCATCTCCCAGACTTAAGTCAAGGGATCTTTTTAAGCCATAATCTATGTCACTTTCCTGCTTACTGACATTTATTTACTATTTGTAGAATTACTTCTTTAATGTAGCATAAAAAGACCAGTTATGATTTCCATGCTCATCTATTGCTTGTCTTCCCAAGTGTTTCCAGTAATGACAAACATGTGTTTCCCACCTCAGTGCCTTTATACACGCCTTTGCCTAGTATGTCCCCCTCCCCGTCCTTGCATGCCTGTAAGTCTTCTGTTTATCTTTCATCATCTCACCCAAACTCTTTCCTCTCTTCCTAATGGCCTTCTCAGAAACTTCTTCCTCTGTCCCACTTCCACACATTGGTCATTATCACACTGTATAGTAATGTATTTATCTTTTTATGTAACCTTGAGTTCTTTGAGAGCAGAGATAATGTCTGGGGGAAAAAAGGCTTAATAAATGTTTAATTAATGTTGTTTTGGATATCAGTAATCAGTTTATGTCTCCCCCAACCACCTTCCCCACATTGATCTTACATGCTGTACTCTTTCAAGATTGAAAAAGATAAAAGAGTCATTTGCTTTACAGCACTCTTTTTAGGATCAGCACTCCATCCAAGCAGACTTTGGCTATTTCCTGAATTCTTGAGCTGCATCCTGTCTGCCTCTTCAAACTCCTTAGATGTTTCCCTTTGAAAAAAAAGACCATTTATGTCAGCTAATCTCATCGGATACTGATAAGCTTGGGAACAAACTGTGTTTCTGATCTCTTAGGAAGAGATTTTGCTCCTAACTGCTGTTTGCTTTAAGAGTCAGTTTGTTGTTTTACAGACCTGACTTTACCTTAATCTCCTGTCTTTCAAATAGTCCTAACAGTTTTTGATAAGACTTACAAATCAAGCCAAAGAAACTCCTTGCTCTTGAATTTTTAAAAATCCAGACACCATTTACATAGTTGGATTGTTTTGAGATGAAATTGGCCAGCTGTGTTAATGACCATGGCTAACTATCAGCTGAAGGTTGCTGCCAAATGACATCATAACCTAAGCTATAGAGATGATACAGTAAAGAAAAATGCCAAATGGAACATTCCCTCTCATAAAAGTATGTTGTTTAATAGAAAGAAATAAGCCAACCCAAATCATGTAATTGTTCAAGTAGACAGAGTGTAACTCTCCAAACAAGCACTGGCTGTGAATACTCTAATGTCTTCTGTGAACTGGCATCATTAGTGAGATTCTAGTCTATTTTCTCTAGGGTGCTTTAAGTTCTTTTGTGAAAAAGAATGTATTTGGCCTCCACACATAGGGAAGTTTTCTGCAGCCCTATCACCTAGTAGCTACTTTAAATGGGAAATAGAAAATTTCCAAGTGGTCTGTTTTGTGTACCAGTAAGATGATTCTTAAAATACCTAATACATGCCTATCCCAGTCAAGTTGTTAAATTATTCTGTTCTGCCACCTTTACGGAACTAACCATTTTTTTCTAAAATCATTAGAAATATGAACTTGGGAAATAGAAATCACTTGGATTTTAAAAACTAGAGACAAAACTTGTCAAGTAAGTAATTATAGCCATGAACATCTGTGTGTATCCATTCAGGGCTAGAAAATGACCTTCACCTCAGATAGGACCAACCCCTCTGCCTTCCTGTGTGGAATTAACAGAAATTTCAATGTCAAGGATTCAAAAATAAAATTGAAAATACACATAAGATGAACCATAGATCTCTTTTAAGAGTACATACATCTTCTGGAATTGGCACCTTTTTCTTCATAAGCCCCATCTTAGTGAAGGGAAAGATGAAGGTTTGGAAATTAGAGGTAGTATTAATTTTGCATAGGACTCAGTTGTGGATAAATTAAGCCAACCCTAAAGACAAAGTAATGTATGTAATGTGCACTTATGTGGAAAAAAAAGTGACCATTTGATTTAAGTTTCAATGGCTTCTAACATTTACAGATTGAAATATCTACACCTCTCAAATATTATCACTTTGTGATTTGTCATTGGAATAGATGGCCATAATAAAGGAAGGACCTGCTATCTACCACATCAGTTTTCCAAATCAACTTGGGGAGAAAAATTCTGTATCCTCTCTCATTAAAGTGAAGCATTACTCTTGCAATCTTCTAATAGTTTTTTACCCCCTCTCTACCCTTCTTTAAAACAAAAACAAAAAAAAAAATAGAGGGCATGGACCCATTCAGGATACATGAATGCATACATGGAAATGTCATAATGAAACTCAGTGTGGATGTCTTAAATAAACCAAAATGTCTTTTTTTTTTTTTTTTCAAAAAGAGAGGACAGGAAGATAAAACAGGTCCTGTATGGGGGTAGGTACCATTGGGGAGGAGGATATAAAGAAAGGGTGAAAATGGTAGAAATATTATGTACTTGTGTATGAAAATGGAAAAATGAGACCTGTTAAAACTATTCCAAGACTGGAAGGAGAAGGATAAAAGAGAATGATGGAGGGGGTGAATTTAAAATATATTATAAATACTTTTGTAAATGTCACAATGTAGCCCCAGTAAATATGATAATAAAAAATAAAAATAAAATAATAAACCACAGCTAGGTGTAGTGGCACATACCAGTAATCTCAGCACTTAGGAGGCTGAAGCTGGAGGATCACAAGTTTGAGACCAGCCTGAGCTGTATTTGGAGACCCTATGTCAAAAAAAACAATCTATGCACTTTAAATCTCTTGGTTAAGTGAAATAAATATGCATTTATTAAAAGATAGATTTAGTATCTCCAAATTCCTCTTTCTACTATTAATAGCACACTGTGGATGAAATAGGCACTCAGAGAATCTCCACTGTTCCAGAGATTATGAATAGTGAACAATAGCATAAATAGAAGAATGTTTAAGCTTCTTCCTACTGTATGTTTTATACTCACTCTAGCTAATTTTTATCTGTGACTCCATTATTTTATATTAAGAAGAAAATAGCCTTAGTTACACAACTGTTTTCTCATCTTTAAGATCATTACCTTAGCCAGGTGTAGTGATGCACACTTGTAATTCCAGCACTCAGAAAACTGAGGTAGGAGGACTGTGTGTTTGAGGCCAGCCTGGGCTACGTAGGGAGACCTGTCACACACACACAACTACCTTTTTTTTTAATTGTTTTATTATTCATATGTGCATACAAGGCTTGGGTCATTTCTCCCCCTGCCCCCACCCCCTCCCTTACCACCCACTCCGCCCCTTCCCTCTCCCCCCCACCCCCTCAATACCTGGCAGAAACTATTTTGCCCTTATCTCTAATTTTGTTGTAGAGAGAGTATAAGCAATAATAGGAAGGAACAAGTGTTTTTGCTGGTTGAGATAAGGATAGCTATACAGGGAGTTGACTCACATTAATTTCCTGTGCGACACACAACTACCTTTAACAATTCTGATCTTTATATAAAAATGCTTGCAAATTTATAAGAAACTTCTGCCTTAATTACTGAAAAAAAAAGTGGCCCAACATCCTCAGACTGCAGTTCCTGACTTTGGTTCTTTACATTTGAGAGTTCAGGAGTAGAGGATGACCAGGGGTGGTACCCAGCTAATTCTAAAAAAGACTATAAGTCCCTTCTCTCTGGATTCCACTCAGACATAGACAGAGATGGGAGTAGCTAGGACAAGGAACCAAAAGAGAGGTAAGCCAAAGTAGACACAGTGTAGGTAGGAAAAATGAAACCAGCTGTATTTTGAGCAAAGGTAATTTTCAACAGATTTATTATTATTATTGTCCCCAGATACTGTGAGCCCATTTAAGTGTTTGTATTCATTGTTATTCTTTAAATTTTTTTCCTTCCTGGAAAAGGTGCTAAAATCATTACTCTTGGAGGAAAAGCAGCAACTACATTAATTGGACACAGTAACTTACTGTGTTTACATTAAAAAAATTTGGAAACAACATTAATGCCATGTTTAACATTGAAGAGTAGAAAGAACAAGAATCAAGTATCTTCAGTCTTTGTTCTCTGCCCTTAGCCCTGACAGCTGCAGCTGGAAGGGGCAAACTGGAGGTGTGCCGTCTGCTCTTGGAGCAAGGGGCAGCAGTGGCCCAGCCAAACCGCCGAGGGGCAGTACCCCTATTCAGCACTGTTCGCCAAGGCCACTGGCAGGTAAGCAGAATAGCTACTTCCAGTCTCTCAAGCAGGAATTAGTTCCAGGTGGAAACTTCTGATGCAAATGGGGAAAAAAAAATCAGCCCAGGTACATGCCTGTAATCCCAGCACCCGGAAGGCTGAGGCAGGAAAATCTCAAATCACGGCCAGCCTGGGATACATAGTGAGACTGTGTCTCAAAACAAAACAAAAAAAAAAAATCACAGCTGGGTGTGGTCACTCACACGTGTAATCCCAGCTACTCAGGAGCTGGAGGTAGAAAGATTGTGGCCTGAGGCCAGCCTGGGGAAAAACCCAAAACCTTATCTGAAAAGCAAACTAAATCAAAAAAGGCTGGGGGCATGGCTCAAGTGGAAAAGAGCTTGCCCAGAAAGCATAAGGCTTTGAGTTCAAACTCCAGTACCAAAAAAAAAAATTCACAAATTTTGGTTTACCCAGCAGTCCTCAGATTTGAGGATTTGAACATTTATTATATTAATATTCTGTTTAATTGAGAAGGTGATAAAAAGTTAACATTCAAAACCATTATTGTGATCTAGGATTGACTAGCTGCTTTTGTCCTGGTCATGGAGTGACCTCCTTCTCACATTTCCCAGTACCCACAGTTCATTGGAAAGTTCATTTCTCAACAGATCCCTACTAACACTTACTTGCAGGTATCCCACACCTGCTAAAAGGAAATGTGCTATATGCAAACCTAGTTATATGATCTTTTCAGATGTTTGAATTCTGGATAAATGTTAATTTATACACTTAGAGTGGAAAAGAAAGCATTCTGATAGTAATCTTTGAAAGTATTCGAGTAGAAAAAAAGACTGTAGAAGGCAAGCAGTGCTGGAGTTATCCTAGGCACTTTATTGTAGTCAGTGCAGTGGTAAATATGTACTGCTACAGACAGACTTGTAATCCCTAGAGATTAATAAAATGGCTCTGGCAATTTGTGTTGGAGCTTACATTTTGGAATTGTTTAGACTACTCTTGACTTGTTTTCCTTTTTTGTTTTTTTTTTTTTTTTTACTTAATAACTCCGTCAGATGGTTCAGGGATGAATCCTCCTCATTTGTCTATCCCTAAGAGAGACAGAGTAAATCACAGGTCATTAGAACTGTATAGGTATTTATAGGGGTCTTACAGAAGAAAGGTACTTGTGGAGCTCTCTTGTACAGTAGTAGCAGTTCACACACTTTAGGAGACCATATGCATGTGTCTTCTCAAAAGCTCTTGGAATAATTGGTCCCTATTTTTCTGTACTTATAGATTGTTGATCTTCTTCTCACCCATGGAGCTGATGTCAATATGGCAGACAAGCAGGGTCGTACTCCCCTGATGATGGCTGCTTCTGAAGGCCATCTAGGAACTGTGGACTTTCTTCTTGCACAAGGTCAGTCCTGGGATGTCAAAGCTGGGTGGTCACTTTCCATAACAACCCACTGAGCTACTGATTTCTAAAATAGATCCCAGGAAATGTTAAGAATGATTACTATTAATCCATTTGGTTTGAAAATGAAAGGCTTTCCCCTGTCCTTGTATACAGTGGAATCCTTCTAACTCTGATATCCCCTACTTCTTTATGTTCTGAGGAATTTTAGTCAAAGTAACACATTCTGTACACTTTCATTCAAATCCATAATCTCCAAGAAGATTCTTTTTTAATATACACACAATAAATACTCACTTTCCAGAAGTGGTATTTTAACTTTAACTTTATCAATTCTTTGTTAAGCCTACACAACTAAAATTTTTCTTGAATGAAAGGGAAGTAAAGGAAGGTTAAGACACCTGCTAACAGTGGGATCCTATCTGGAAAATCAGGATATTTTTATAATAAATTCCTTTTGATAACAATATTCTCAAATTCCTTGTGAATGGAAAATAAGTTAAAGGATATGGACCTGTATAAGCTTGATAAGTTTTTTTCTTCAGTAGAGGTCTACTATCATAAAGCATTTCAGGCTCCTGTTGATTCTATTACCTCATTCACGCATACAGAACAGTGGTTAGTGATGGTAAATCTCCATAGTAGAATAAAGCTCAAGTTACAGTGATACTACAGTGTCATCTAGTGGACAATTTGATGACTTCATTTCAATTAGCCTCCACTAATAGTGAAGTAGACTCAAACATCTATAATTATATCCACAAGCACACGCACTTTCTTCAAGGAAACCAGCTTCCTGAAGAACTGTGCCCAGGCCCGAGCAGCTGAGGGTACTTGAATTAGGGGAGAGGTCTTTTTTTTTTTTTTGTCTTTTCTTTTTTGGTGCTAGGATCGAACCCAGGGCTTCACATATGCTAGGCAAGCACTGTACCACCGAGCTACATCCCAGCCCTGAATTAGGAAGACTAGTTTCCCATAAGATTGCAAACTACAGCCTAGTCAGAGATTTACTGGATCTTTAGGTGTCCTTCAAAGATTTTTTTTTTCACATCCTCAGACTCAAAGCTGGGAAAGAATAGAGTTGCTCTTCCAGTATACAAGGTGGCTCTTGCCTCCCCAATATAAACTACCAAACAAGTCTGGCTTCATAATATCTATCTTCATTTCTGCTGGAGAAGGGAAGAGGAGGCTTTAGGGACAGGGGGTTGGAATGTGCCTAGATTCTCAAGATAAGATGTGGCAGGAGTAAATGTTCCAGAACAAACTGTGTCCATTGGAAAAGGCAGGACCTCCTCAGTCCCTGATAACCTTTAGATAGGTAGCTACAGTGTCTGCTGTATGCAGTAGCTGCTCATTAAGCACAAACTCCAGAGATTTGTTTTCCCTTACCACTGAAGAAGGCATTCTGCTCTTTGGACTAGTTCCTTTTTTTTTTGCTTAAATTAAATGAGAGGCTTTAGCTAAGTCAGCAAATTCTATAAACATTTATTTAATCTATATAATTTGCAGAACACCATCATCATTTTGATTGTTTTAATAAATAAATTATAATTTGTACCCTCAAAGGGTACAAAGAAGAAATGAAACAAAAATAAATACCTTAAAAGGCAGAGAATCCTAAGTGTTCTGCTAAAGGTAGTGTATTAGAATATATAGACTTTGAAATTTGAACAGGAAAATGTTCTATATTTAGGAAGAAAAAGTAATGTAGATGAAAGGTCAAGGAAGAGTAGCAGTGAAGAAGAGGTTGGGGAAATGGGCTAGTTGCCTACTGAAGTACCTAACAGGTATAGGGAAATAAAACTCGAAAAGTATTTGGAAAGAAATGGGAAATAACTAGTTTAAAAGAATTTAGGGACAGGTATCATGGTGTGTGCCTGTAATCCCAGATATCAGGGAGGCAAAGATGAAATTATTGCGATTTGAGGCCAGACTAGGCAAAAAGTCAGTGAGGCCACATCTCAAAAAAAAAAAACATGATTGTACCCACCTGTCATTCCACAAAGACAGGAAATATAAGAAGGAGGATTGTGGTCCAGACTGATCTGGGGGAAAACATGAGACCCTGTTTCAAAAATAACCAAAGCAGAAAGGACTAAGGGTGTGACTCAAGTGGTAGAGTGCCTCCCTACAAGTATAAGATCCTGAGATCAAACCCTGGTACCTCAAAAAAAAAAAAAAAAGCTACGCAGGAGGTATAAGTAGGAGGATTATGGTCTAAGACCATCTCCAGGCAAAAGCAAGACCCTGAAAATGAAACTAAAACAAAAAGGCTGGAACATGGCTGAAGAGGTACAGCTTCTTCAGGAGAGGGAAGGAGAGAGGGAAGGAGGATTTGGACTTGATTCTAAAGAAAGTAGGAAGTCTTTAAAGATTTTTAAAAGGTTCTGGGGATACAGCTCAGTGCTGGAACACTTGTCTAGCATGCAAAGGAAATAGCCTACAGAATGGAAGAAAATCCTTGCCAGCTATACATCTGATAAGGGATTATTAACCAGAATTTACAGGGAGTTCAAAAAAACTATACTCCCAAAGAATGAACCACCCAATGAAAAAATGAGCAAATGAACTGAACAATTTCCAAAGGAAAAAGTACAAATGGCCAATAAATGCATGAAGAAATGCTCCACATTCCCTAGCCATAAAGGATATGCATATCAAAACTACATTAAGATTTTATCTCACTTTAGTCAAAATGGCTATCAAAAACAATGTAAACAATAACAAATGTTGGCAAGGCTGTAGGGAAAAAAGGAACCTTTATGTACTCTTGGTGGGAATGGAAATTAGTACAACCACTAGGGAAAGCAGTATGGAAATTCCTCAAACTCTAAACATTCAACTACCATAGGATCCACGGATACCAGCCCTGGGCATATATCCAAAGGGAGTGTAAGTCAAGATACAATAGAGCCACTTGCATACCCATGTTTGTTGTAGCACTCTTCACAGTAACCAAGCTCTTGAAATAGCCCAGATGCCCTAAAACTGATGAATGAACTGAGACAATGTGATATATATACACAATGGAATATTACTCAGCTATAAAAAAAGAATTAAATTATGTCATTTCAGTGGATGGAACTGGAGATCATGTTAAACCAAGTAAGTCAGGTTCAGGAAAAAAAAAAAAAAAGGTCCCATGTTTTCTCTAATATGTGGAAGATACATCCAAAAATAAAAGTATACAAAAATACAGACATGTATATATGTGTATACATATATATAGACAGACAGACAGACAGAGAGAACATGTTTGGAATAGTACAATTGTGTTGTTTGAGGAGGCTAGAGGAAGAAGGAAGAGGAAAAGAGAGTGAATAATATCGAAATACATTGCATCTGTGTAGGAAGATGGCATAACAAAATGCACTGAAAGCTGTATAGTAGCTGAATATTAGGGGTAAGGGAGAAAGGGTAAAGTAGAGTAATAGGGGTGTTAATCTAATCAAAGTACAGTATATTCATGGGGAAATACCATGGCAAAACTCCTTTGAACAATGAATATACACTTTAAAAATGAAGAACAGGAATGTAAAACAGATCCTGTTAGGGGTGGGTGACAGTGGGAGGGGGAGGGGGAATGGAAAAGGTGAAGGAGAGTGAACATGTTAGTGTTCTTTATATACTTGTATGAAAATAAAACAGTGAAAATTATTGAAATCATCTTAAGTGGGGGAGGGGTTGAGAGAATGATGGTGGGTACAAACCTAATCAAGGTACATTATAATCATATATGCAAATATCACAGTGAAAACCCCCTGTACATATAATATATGGTAACAGAGGGAGGGAGGAGGAGGGGAGAGAGAGGAGACTTTAAAGACTTTAAAGGGAGGAGAGGGTCTGTGAATATAGCTCAGTGTTGGAGCACTTGCCTAGCATGCACAAGACCCTTGTGTTGGATCCCAGCACCACATAACATAAAAAACAATTCTTAAAAAGGGAAAGTTGAGTAGACGTACTGGTATAGGTAACACCAAATGGTAAATTATCTTTTTTTTTATTCATATGTGCAGTAAATTATCTTATACATATTCTAGAGAGCAACATTAAAAAAACAGAACTAGGATATCCTAAGAAAAACCTATTCCCAAAGACAACTTTAAGAGAAAGGCAACAATAGTAAAAACGTAAAATTTGTAACAAAAATGTGAAAGGTTTAATTTGTTTCCTTGAAACAAATTAAAATGAAAGAAAATAAAAAGGCAATAAAGGAGAAAGGGAAGGGAAGGAGGGAAAAAAGGAAAGAAGAAAGAACTTGAAGCCAATGTTGTGTTTTCTTTAAAAAATAATTACTCTAGCAGTAATGTTAATAGTAAATTTGGTGAAAGAGCCAGGTGCTAGTGACTCACACCTATAATCCTAGCTACTCAGGAAGCAGAGATCAAGAGGATCACTGTTCAAAGCCAGCCCTAGGCAAGTAGTTCTCGAGACCCTGTCTCAAAAAAACCCATCACAGAAAAGGGCTGGTGGAGTGGCTCAAGTGGCAGAGCACCTGCCTAGCAAGCATGAGCCCTGAGTTCAAACCTGAGTGCCACCAAAAAAAAAAAAAAAAATTGATGAAGGAATAGTAGTGGGCCAGTATATCAGTTAAAGAGCCATTATAAGATATTCATGGGGTCATTCACTGTCAAAATAGAACAAAAGGGCCAAGTGCAAAGAAATATTTGGATATAAACACTAATTAAATGTAGAAAATAAGAAGGGAAGAGCAGGCACAGGAGGCAGAGATCAGGAGGCTCATAATTCGAAGCCATCTCAGGCACGAGACCCTATCTCAAAAAAACCATCACAAAGACGGGCTGGTGGAGTGGCTCAAGGTGTAGGCCCTGAGTTCAAACCCCAATACCTAAGAAAAAAAAAAAAAGAAGGATAAGAGAGTAAAGATAACTCCAAAGTTGTAAAATGAATGTTACAACTCTAGATGGATGAGAATTATGATTTCATTAACTGCATGGAAAAGAAAAGAGAAGAGAAAGATTAAAAATGGAATTTTGGAAGTATTAAGCTTGTTTCATATGTATATCCTTATAATTTCTTAAATCAGCTTTCCAGTTTATCTATACTATACATCTAAAACCTTCCTTTCATTCTGCTTTTTCCTTTTTTTTGTTTTGCTTTGTTTTTGTGGTACGGGATTAAACTCAGCCCTGCTTTTTCTACCACTGGAGATTGTCCAGGAAATTTATAGGTATTGCATCTGAGAAAACTTGGTTTCTCTCCTATATTCAATTCATTCCATGTTAGAGTCAATGTGTCAGTTGTAAACTCTACACCATTATGAAAAGATAACCTAGTATCTAAAGGAATTTCATCCAGTTAGAGGTGTAGTACTTCCCAGCTTTTCATCCTGCTATGGGAAGGCACAAAGCCTTCTGACCTCTATGAATGCAAAGGTGAGAGATCATATACCTTCTGAGTAGATCCCAAGTCTAGATGTGGCCAGTTCCTCAGCTTGACCTAATATCAGAATCCTGTCCTCTGACGAGGCAACCTGGAAAGTGTTCCAGGTGCAGTAAGTTGATCTCTAATTTAGTTAGTAAATATTGCGAAGAGAATTGTCTTAGATACTATTTTTCAGCACTATCATGGAAATGGTAGGCTCCTTGCCATCAAAAAGCTTGAAGCCTCCACCCAAGAACCAAATGTATGGTGAACTTTAGACTGATTACAAAACCATGCCCAGTATGCTTGATCCTTACAGATGAAATTATACATGTCGTTGTGAAATAGGTGCAGAATATGAAAGGGACTCAGCTGGTGGGGATTGAAGGTTATTGAAGAAGCCTCACTAGTTTAAGTAAACTCTGAATTTCTTTTCAATTATTTGGGTTTTTTTTTTCCTTTTTTGAACTCAGATCCTCAGGCTTGCTAGGCAGGCGCTTTACCACTACTCTACCAGCCCTAATTATTTCCTTCTTTAATTGACAAGTAAACCTTGTATATTTGCGGTAGACAGCATGATGTTTTGCTTTATGTATACCTTGTAGAATGCATCAAGCTATTTAACATATCCATTACCTCACATGCTTTTTTGTGATGGAAATCCTTAAAAATCTACTCTCTTAGCAATTTTCAAGTATATAACACATTGTTATTAACCATCATGTACAATAGACGCCTTGAATTTATTCCTCCTATGTAACTGAAAGCTTATGCCCTTAACCAACATACCTCCAATTCTACCATCCCCCAACCTCTGGCAACCACCATTTTACTCCATGTTTCTATGAGCTGGACTGTTGTAATTAAATTCAGAATTTCCTTTGTGACCCGGACTGAGTGCTCAACCACGAAAAGCACATTCTCCCCACTTTGTAAGGAAGGAGAAAGTGACCTGATATTATCACCAATGATAGTACCAGGCTCCTATTTTAGGAGAAACTTTCAAGGAATTTATACTGTTATGAATGGAAGACTTCCACTAAGTTCAGAGAACATTCACTAAGAACTTATTATATGTGAGTGGGTTACCTAAACACATAACAGAATATGTTAAATGCATTCAAAATGAAGTAACAGCGAACAGGGAGAAGTTTCTTAGAGGCAGGGGGATTTCAGATAGTTCCTAGAGAATGAGTAGAAGTAAGGAAAGTCATAGGAAAGAAATATTCCATACATAAGAACAATATAACAAAAAGTGAGGATGCAGGAACATTTATGAAAGATCCTAGAAACATTGAGCATATCCATTTGGCCAAAGCAGAGGATTCTTACATGATAAAGGATAAAACCTAAGGATAAAGACCAATCCTGGGAACAGATTGTGAAGACATTGAATACCCAGTAAGACAACTGAACTTCATTCTATTGATAGCTTGTAGGATCAATTTTAATAATTTTACTGAGGTATAGCTGATATACCAGGGTCAGTCTTTGGGGCATGGCAGGGGGAGGGGGTTGGTGTGGCAGTGCAGGGGATCAAACCCAGGGCCTTCTGCATGTTAGGCAAGTCCTCTACTGCTGAACTACAGCACTGCAACCCTTGTGGGTTATTTTGAGACAGAGTCTCACTGTGTAACTCAGGCTCACCTTAAACTCACAATTATCCTGCCTTCACCTCCTGAGCACTAGGATTATAGACATGTGCCACCACACCTAGCCAGGGTCAATCTTAAAATGGAAACATCTAGAAAGGAAAGATGTAGTTTGGCAGTGCTTATACCTTAAGTACTATCTTTCCTTCCAGCTACAAATTTTTATGCTTTCTCAGTCCTGAGTTATCACTTGCTCTTGTAGGTGCCTCCATTGCTCTAATGGACAAAGAAGGATTAACAGCCCTCAGCTGGGCTTGTTTGAAGGGCCATCTCTCAGTAGTACGTTCTCTAGTGGATAATGGAGCTGCCACAGATCATGCTGACAAGAATGGCCGCACCCCTCTGGACCTGGCAGCTTTCTATGGCGATGCTGAAGTGGTGAGTGCCTTTAAACAAGCCTCAGGAGTGTAGGGACAGGGGATGTTCTCCATTAATAATATTATCTGGAATCAAAGGCAAGGTAGTATTTTGATGATTCCTAACATAAGAATTTGCAAAACTGTTCTTGCGAGAGGGCAGGAATCTGAAAAACAACGATTAAAGACCAAAAAGTAGTCTGGTGGAGTAGCTCAAGCAGTTAGAGCACCTATCTAGCAATCAGGAGGCCCTGAGTTCAAACCTCAGTGCCACCAAAAAAAAAAAGACCAAAAAATAGGTATGGACTGAATAGCTACACAGGCACTTTCAGACCGGCAATTGAAAAACTGGCACGCAGCAACCACAGCCCTCAGTGAGACAGTGCTAAGCCATTGCAGTTGTGTTTACTTCTCTGTGTGATCCATGTTGTAGGTCCAGTTCCTGGTGGATCATGGGGCCATGATTGAGCATGTTGACTACAGTGGGATGCGCCCTTTGGATAGGGCAGTGGGGTGCCGGAACACTTCTGTTGTTGTCACTCTCCTGAAGAAAGGAGCCAAAATAGGTAAGAGAAAGAAAGATGGTGTTGGCCATCTGTGCCCAGGGGCCAGACTGGTCCAGTGGTCTGGCTGTCCTGGGTGTTTGGTATGAGTGTATATAGCTCCTCCTCTGCCCTGGTCCAGTTCCTGTCCAAGTGAACAGAAAGGCTACAGGCCCAGAGAGAGCACCATATGAGCCATGGTCTACAGTCCCCTGTGTCCAGTCACATGGTTCTCTGCCATGCCCCTTGTAGCCTTGCCAGGAGGTTGCTCTGGGCTTAAGCACGTCTTAGTGCTGCCTCTACACCAGCCCTACCCTATGAGCATCCTGAATCCCTGCCATGAGCCTTTGCTTTCCTTTGCTCTGTATGTGCTTCCAACTCTCGAGCCCCTGCTGCTGCTGTCCCAGCTGCTCCCCCACCCCACAGACCTGTAGACAGGGTTGGCTGATATGCTGGCTTTTTTGCTGCCTGCCTCTCACTGTTGCTTTTTCCTTCTTTTTTTTTTTTTCACCTTCATCCATTTTTTTTTCCTCTCCTACAACTTTTTGTTTTCTCCTTTCTTTGAAGGTTGTCAGACGTTACCGAGTCGCCCACGAGGTATATTTCACCGCTGTCAGCATCAGGCGTGGTCTGATGGCTTGGTCAGCTTTGCCTTCTCCTCTTTGATTTTAGCCTGCATGAGTTCCCTACACCTCTAATCTTTTAATTTACTTCACCTTAAAAGAAGATTTTTTTAATGACTGTTGTAGAGAATAACTTGAACTTTTGATAACTAACCCTGAAAAGCTTAGTTGATAAATAATTCAGGCATCTGAAAACTAATCAATTTAATTTAACCTTTCTTTCTTTTGTGGGTAAACTAGTCCTTGATAAGTTGGTTTGTTTCATGTCTGTTTAACATTCAAACTGTGCTCCTGGTTCAAAGTGAATCCCAGGGAGTTCTGTTTGGCACTTATAAATTAAGGGAACCTTTAGACTCTGTAATAGTTTCCCTTCTACAAAGAACATATTTGACATCTGGGAGTTCTGAGTCACAGATCGAAAACAAATTACCCTTTTTTGGATTTTTTTGATATTATGGTGATCTTTAATGCAAACTCTCCCAGTTTCCTGATTTAGAATAATTCCAAACTAAGCCATTGTTTGACCATACACAACACGCAGACTTTACTGCCCTCCTGTGGCACAAGCTCAGAGAGTTAAGATGTTCTTATTTTAAGGTGAATCACAAACAAATCCAATGCAGCTTCTTGGCAGTGGGAGTCACTAAAATACTCTCAGGTCTAAAAGATGAGGTGATTATTGTGGAGCAAGTTGTTCTCTCAGCAGAAATTCCCCCAGGATGTTTTTTTCACCTAGCTTCCTACCACTTTTACATTGTATGAGTTTTTTACCCATCATGCATCCTGTACACTACAGGTCCAGCCACATGGGCGATGGCCACCTCCAAACCAGACATCATGATCATCCTGTTGAGCAAGCTGATGGAAGAGGGTGACATGTTTTATAAGGTGAGGGCGGGAGGAACAGTTTCCTCAAAACAGCCACGGACTATTCCCTACATATAGAATCTTTCAAGTCTTGACAGTTTTTATCCTTTGTTCTGGAGGCAAAGGGAGAATGCCATTCTGTAAGCCAAGCATGGTAGCACGCACATAATATTCCCAGCACTAGGGAGGCTGAGGCAGGAAGATCATGAATTCGAGGCCAGCCTAAAGCTACATAGTAAGACCCTGTCTCCAAAAAAAAAAAACCACAGAATGCCATTCCTTAGTGATGGGCTCCTGGGATTTTGTCTCGTCAAGCGAGCAAGAGCTTGGGAGTGTTGTTCAAGTGGTGGAGCACCTGGTTAGCAAGTACAAGACCTCGAATTCAAACCCCAGTACTGTCCCCCAAGACAGAGAGAAAGAGAGAAAGCAACCGCAGCCTACACATGCCTGCAGCTCCACCATCCTAAAGCCCTAGTTTTATCTGGTCACAAACAGGTGATGGCCTAGATTTTACATGGAATTTACTAATTAAACTCCTTGGGACAAGTTTTTGCAAAATTATGTAGTATAATTATTTGTAGTCTATTGATTTTAGCTTTCATATTTAATATACACAAAGATTTAAAAGACTACAGTATTAATAGCTTTCCTATATCCTCAAATAAGATAAGGAAACCAAGAAAAATAGCAGTTACAAGATTTCTTAAAGTCACTCACGGAATGATAATTTTAAAAAGTAGGGAGTCTTTTTATACTCACAATTCGAACTGAAGTCTCCATAGCCCACAGTAGTTCTTGAGGACATTCCATGTCATAGTCATCTCATAGTGTTAGATTAGCTGGATCATCTCGTGAAGGTGAATGCAGTGGGCTTTTAGCCATGGATATCTCTTGAGATCTCCTCAGACCTAAAAGATGAGTAAATGATTGGGAAGCATGTCATTCTCCCTTTATGTTAGGAGTATATAAGCTCCTGGGAGCAGAATTCTATGTTCTGAGTATCCTTTGAGTGAGAGTCATAATAATCTAGGGCTTGATCCCTGCCCCAATCTTGATTTCATATAATTTCAAAGAAAATTACTCTACATATCATATTTATGAACCTCAGAACTGCATTGCTGTCAAGGATCTAATGCCCTGATAATAGTATAGCTTCTTGTATTCCAGAAGGTAGGCAAGGAGTCCTACTTCTTAATGAATATAGGCAGAGCTGCTATTGTTCCTGCCCAGAATTCTAAGTTGGAAGACTCCAGATTTCTCCTAGTAAAAGGTACTAAATGAAAAATTAAACATTGGGATACCTGGAGAGTGGCAGCTACACAGAAGGAATAGAGTGGATAAAGGTGGGAGATGCCTCCTCCATCTTTCCAGACTTAGCTTGCAAATTATCAGGTACAGAATATAAAAAAGTTTGAGGTTCCTGTGACCAGATCCCTAAGTTGATCATAGACTTTATCTTAGAAAATGTCTCCTAAAAGTCAGATGGAATCACAAAGTCTAAGCTTCACTCCTCTACCACCACTCTACCGCATGACTTTTCCACAGACAGGGGATATGGATTGTCATTATTTTCTGCCATGACGTTAGGGAAACAATAGCTGGACTACTTTAGCTTCCGTACTTTTCATGAGGAAGAAAATGACCTCTTCTGGGGGCAGCAAGGTGGAGCATCAGACAAAAACAAAAACTAAAAGAGAGGCTAGGTATAGTGGCTCACACCTGTATCCTAGCTACTTGGGAAATGGAAATTGGGGGGATTGTGATTCAAAGCCAGCCTGGACAAAAAGTTAGCAAAACCCCCAACTCAACAAATAAGCCAGGCATGGTGGCTCATACCTGTGGTCCCAGCTACATGAAAGGTCACAGGTAGGAGGATCACAGTCTAGGTAAACCTGGGCAAAAACATTAGACCCTATATAAAAAATAACCTAAAGCAAAAAGGGCTAGAGGTGTGGCTCAAGGGGTAGCGCACCTGCCTAGCAAGCATGAGACCCTGAATTCAAGCCCCAGTAAGTACCAGTCAGTCAATAAATAGATAAATGGGAATAATGCCTGTGGAATGCTTTGGACCAGGAAGTTGTCTATGTCTCAGGGAGAGCAGTGCAAGAAAAAAAAAATGAACTTTAAAGTGACCAGGTCACTCTTTTGGAATCCAGTTGGAAAGCTGGGAAACAGGGTCTTCCATTTGTCAAGACTGTTTCTCTGGAGTGTTCCCTCTTACCAAGTGAGTTTCCTATAAAAGAAAAAGAGTAGAACCTTTCTGTTCTCACCATCAGGGTGTGTGGGAGGTTTAACCTTAGTAACAGCTGCTGAGAGCAGGAAGAAAATAGGAACCAAGTTTACTCAGTTGCCCTGCAGACCACCTGTGACATGTGCCTTTCCATCTTGTACCCCCCCATTAGAAAGGTAAAGTAAAGGAGGCTGCCCAGCGCTATCAGTATGCCCTGAAGAAATTCCCTAGAGAAGGGTTTGGTGAGGACTTGAAAACCTTCCGGGAGCTAAAGGTGTCTCTCCTCCTCAACCTCTCTCGATGTCGCAGGAAGATGAACGTAAGTCCTTTTCATCCCCTCTCCTTTCTGCACTTATGAAAGTTGAAAGTTCATACACTTGTTTGTACGAGGCCCCTGAAATCCTCTCTGCCCCATTTAGAATTTGGTTGTCCTTCACAGAGCACTGACATTGCGATTTGAATCAAGTCTAAGAAGAGTCTGTCTCTCAAGCTTAGAAAAGTTAATGCTGTGAGCACTTTGTAGCATTTGAAATGTCATAATTCCTGCTGAGAGTGACTGAGATACCATAATTCCACTCCCCCCAAGTCGATTTTCTGCTCTTTGGGAAAATGTGAGAGCAGTAATCACCAGAATTTCAGCTACAATGAAGTTCAGATTTTAGTCAGTCCCTTCCTTTCTAGTATACTCCCTACTCATTTAGGAAAGGGTTGACAAGCAGGCTCAGGATCATGGACTTCAAGGTTCAATTTCTGAGACTATTCTTGAACTTTTCACCTCCTTCCTCATTTTTTATTCCAACGCACCATGTCCCTTCTTACCTTGGAAGGAATCTTAGAATTCTTCTGACTCTTCTGGCCCTCTGTTATCTTCCTAGTTGTCCTTGATCCTTCTTGCCTGCCTTATAGGTACAGTCTCAGATGCCCTCAGATACTGCTCACTTGTCATGCAGACACTCCTAACCAAGAAACTTCTCTCTGATACTGGGAATAGCTAAGATCATGTCAGGAATCACTGACATCCACCAGTCTGAGGGCTCACAGTTCCTCAGGAGATAGAAATAATCCAAGCCAAACAAGAATGTCAATTAGTAAAAGAACTTAGCTATACAGAAGCAAGATTTCGGCCTCAGTAGCAAAGGATCTGCTGTCAAGTCCAGAAAGATTATTTATGTATGTGACTTTGTATCATTCATCCATGCCCTAAAACCTGATAATGAAAAGAGTCCTGGGGCCAGGTATGGTGGCTCACACATATAACCCAGTTGTCAGGAGGATCAGCCAACCTGGGCAGAATTTAGTGAGCCACCTCCCCCCCCAATCTCATCTAAACAAGCTGGGCGTGGTGGTGCACATCTGTGGTCCCAGCTACTCAGGAAGCATAGGTGGAGAATTGCAATCTGAGGCCAGCCCAGGCAAAAATGTGAGACCCTATCTGAAAAAATAACCTAAAGCAAAAAGGACTGAGGGGTGGTTCAAGTGGTAGGTCACTAGCAACCACAAGGCCCTGAATTCAAATCCCAGTACCTACTGCCAAAGAAAAAGAAGAGAAAAGAGCCCTGGAATAGACTTAGCTGTCTCAGAAGACACAGTATGGCCTTCAGAGGCAGAGCTGTCCCAGGGTACTGAGAGGAGTGAAGACATGAAAGAAGTTCCTTTTTCAGGAAGATGGCAGAGGGAACAATATCTTGGGTGAGGGCAGTAAGGTTCTTTAGCATAAGGTTCCACATGTGCAATCTGTGGCCCCAGCTGATGAAAATGAAACAAATCTCAGAAGTGTCTGCCAACCTGCTGACTTTTTTTCCCCTAGCAAACAATCTACTTTTTTAAAGTACCCTGAGAGGGCTGGTGGTATGGCTCAAGTAGCAGAGCACCTGCCTAGCAAGTACAAGACCCTGAGTTTAAACACCAGTACCACCATGGATTCTGCCTGCTCACCATTGTCCCCCAGATCCATCTTCCTGGGGTTCTCAGAATGAAGACAGATAGTTTTGAGACTATGATCCTCCAAGGACCCTCTAGTTATAGCACAGCTTCTACTCACAAGTCCTCTCTTGTTCCATTTTCATTTTTAAGTGTTTCCTAAGTAAGTAACCAAGTAAGGGGAGGAACAGGCCAAAGAATCCTCTGTGAAATACAAAGTACAATTTATTGAGAACTTACTACGTGCCAAGAACTACATACAGCACTTAAATTCTTTATCATGCTTAATCTTACCTCTGAAATGGTATGGACGTGAAAATACACAGCACTCTGTGAGGTTACGAATCAGGCCAGAGAGTTGAGCCCAAGTCTGCCTGATATCCCTATACCATCCAGTTTCCATAGTCAGTGTAGTCTGCTTCCTCCTCCTGAATTCCATAGAACCCCTCAGCCATCCCTTAGGAAGCCAAGATCTGGTGAGTTCAGCAGGAAGCTATGGAGGTAGGATGAGTGTCACATGAGGTGCCCATGCCTGTGTTTGCCTCATATGTGCATGTGTAAAAAGAGCTCAGGTTTCCAGTTTCAGAAACCTCACTATAAAAGATTGGCATTTGACTTACAGACTAAAAAGAATTTTACTAAAAAGGCAAAAAGAGGCCAAGTGAAAAGTATTTTAATACCCTGGGTTGATAAAGCTCAGTGAGTGATTGCAGGGCCACACAGGGCAAAGGGAAAAGGAAGCGTTCAGACGGTGGGCCACATGGTTCCAGCCATGTGAGGCATGTCCAGAATCCCAGGTGCCCATCCATAAATGTATAAGAACTGCAAATATAATTTGTTTCATTCCCAAGATGTCTATTTCTCATATCTCTTCAATGACTCACTTGAACACCTATTGTAATGACAGGATTTTGGAATGGCGGAGGAATTTGCTACTAAGGCTCTGGAGCTGAAACCGAAATCTTATGAAGCTTACTATGCAAGAGCAAGGGCAAAACGCAGCAGCAGGTGAGGAGAGAGAGAGAGAGAGAGAGTGAAAAGCAAGAGGTCTCTTTTCTGAAAATCTGACCCCAAGACAATGTCAGGCATCCTGGGGCATATGTACCCAAATGTGTGTGCCCTTAAGGACTCTTAGGGTCAGCTTTGGGGGTGGCTCCCATAGCACAGTAGTCAGGTCAACACTGGCAAATCTTCTGGGCTCTGAAGACCAAGAGCACTTTATTGGGAGAAAAGTAAAATGAAGAATGGCACCTTCTTCCAGGAAGCCTCTGCTATGTCTCCATCACTTTTCAACCCCAAAGCAGATGGCATAAAGAAGTGCTGAGGACTTAAAAGGTCACTTAAGCAAAACATCCCATCAGCCCTTTTCAAGAGAAGAGCAGGATGGGTCACTTAGCATCACAGGCTCTTCTGTTTTCTTATAAGCATTTGGGAACTCCCTGGATTGTTTAGTCTTCCATATGGGGCTCTCCTCAAGTCTGGTGGCATGGACCCTTCTCACCTAAAGCATCACACACACACACACACACACACACACACACACGTACACACACGCACACACACGCACACATACAGATATACAAGGTCTTGCTTGTCAGGATTTAGGGGCCCAAGAGAAACACCAGCCACTATTACTCATACCCATTTTTGTAGTTTGGCCATTGGACAGGAAAGCCTCCAGAAGAACCTAGAACTTTCCATTAGTGTTCTTTGGATAACTTGTCACTTTCATTGATGCCTCCTGCCCAGCTCCCTACTATCTCCTAAAGTCTACATGAGAAAAAAACTTTGGGGTTTACTACTGGGACTAATGGGGGGTAACCAAGCCCAGACTCAGGCTAGTAATGATGGTGACAGTGATATTAGTCTTAACTAACTGAAGTAACAAAGTTTTTACAGAAACTTGACTATTGAGTTCTCCTTCCCTCTGGATTTTTCCTTATCCACAAGTCCAGTTGCCCTTTTTTCCAGGCAGTATTAATAGAAAAGAGGAGAATATCTCTTGACAATTCATTTCTTCATTTGTAAATTAGAATTTCAGCTTTGCTGTGAATCGCCTAGTCTGCAAATCTTCCAAGCTTTGACCTAGCATAATGAGACATAGCAGTGCTATGGGGTGAGGGGTAGAAAAGGCAGGGGAACAGTGTTCTTCTCTAGGATGGAATAGGCCTAAAATTTAGAGCCAGAATACTGAGAATATATTTTAAAATATCTGCTGGATCAGCAAGATTGTTAAATAGTATAGTTACTTACTGTTTTGTTTCTAAACTACTTGACAGTGACACTGTAAATGACAACCCCACCCAATCTTTATACTGCCTAGTGTGCATTTGGGCACTAAGAGAATCTTCCTGAAGGGCCTGGCTGGACTGACACAATGGGGACTTTCCTCCACTGACCCAGAAAGGCCAGAAGGAAGATGAATGCTGAAAGGGCTAGGGAATCATTCAATGACAGCCTACATGTTTCCTTCCTTACAAATCAAACTGAACCAAAACTCCCAGACTCCCACAGATACCACCACAGTTCTCTGAAATAGTGGCCATGTTTTTAGCTGTTGGTGATTCCTTTTAATTCAGAATAACTCTAGTTTATGTGTTTGCGTTTTGCCAAGCAGACAGTTTGCAGCAGCCTTAGAGGACCTGAACGAGGCCATCAAGCTATGTCCAAACAACCGTGAGATCCAGAGACTTCTGATGAGAGTGGAGGAAGAATGTAGACAGATGCAGCAGCAGCAGCAGCAGCCACTACCACCACAGCAGCCTCAGCAGGAGTTGCCAGAAGAAACAGAGCCTGAACCACAGCCTGAAGATATATACTCTGTCCAAGATATATTTGAAGAGGAGTACCTTGAGCAGGATGTTGAAAATGTTTCCATTGGCCTCCAGACAGAAGCTCGACCCAGTCAGGGGCTTCCAATAATCCAGAGCCCACCCTCCTCTCCAGCCCATCGGGATTCAGCCTACATCTCTAGCTCACCTCTTGGCTCTCATCAGGTTTTTGACTTCCGGTCCAATAGTTCTGTAGGTTCTCCTACTAGACAGGGCTATCAGTCCACCTCACCTGCTCTTTCTCCAACTCACCAAAACTCTCATTACAGGCCTAGCCCACCACATACTTCCCCAGCTCATCAGGGTGGATCTTACCGTTTCAGCCCCCCTCCTGTGGGAGGGCAGAGCAAAGAATACCCGAGCCCTCCCCCTTCTCCTCTCCGGAGAGGCCCTCAGTATAGGGCCAGCCCTCCAGCTGAGAGCATGAGTGTCTATAGATCACAGTCTGGTTCACCTGTACGCTATCAGCAAGAAACAAATGTTAGTCAGCTTCCTGGCAGACCAAAATCTCCATTATCCAAAATGGCCCAGCGGCCCTACCAGATGCCTCAACTTCCTGTGGCAGTTCCCCAGCAAGGGCTCAGGCTACAGCCTGCCAAGGCCCAGATTGTAAGAAGTAACCAGCCCAGCTCAGCAGTTCATTCAAGCACTGTCATCCCCACAGGAGCCTATGGCCAAGTAGCCCATTCTATGGCCAGTAAATACCAGTCTTCACAAGGAGACATAGGAGTAAGTCAGAGCCGGTTGGTTTATCAAGGGTCAATAGGGGGGATTGTGGGGGATGGGAGACCTGTACAGCATGTCCAAGCCAGTCTGAGTGCAGGTGCCATCTGTCAACATGGAGGGTTGACCAAAGAAGACCTTCCACAGCGACCTTCCTCTGCGTATCGAGGTGGCATGAGATATAGCCAGACACCACAAATTGGGCGTAGCCAGTCAGCATCTTATTACCCAGTCTGCCACTCAAAACTAGATCTGGAGCGTTCCTCCAGCCAACTAGGTTCCCCTGATGTGTCACATTTAATCAGAAGACCTATCAGTGTCAACCCTAGTGAAATCAAGCCCCACCCACCAACTCCCAGGCCACTGCTGCACTCCCAGAGCGTGGGCCTTCGCTTTTCTCCATCTAGCAACAGCATCTCTTCCACATCCAACCTAACTCCTACCTTCCGGCCTTCTTCCTCAATTCAGCAAATGGAGATCCCACTGAAACCGGCGTATGATAGGTCATGTGATGAGCTGTCACCAGTGTCTCCCACTCAGGGAGGTTACCCCAGTGAGCCCACCCGATCCAGGACCACACCATTCATGGGGATCATAGACAAAACAGCACGGACTCAGCAATACCCCCACCTTCACCAGCAGAATCGGACCTGGGCAGTGTCGTCAGTGGATACTGTTCTCAGTCCCACATCTCCAGGCAACCTGCCTCAACCCGAGTCCTTCAGTCCACCATCATCTATCAGCAACATTGCCTTTTATAACAAAACCAACAATGCACAGAATGGCCATTTGCTGGAGGACGACTATTACAGCCCCCATGGGATGCTGGCTAATGGGTCCCGTGGAGACATCTTGGAGAGAGTCAGCCAGGCCTCCTCCTATCCTGATGTGAAGGTGGCTCGGACCCTACCAGTGGCTCAGGCATACCAGGACAACCTGTACAGGCAGTTGTCCCGGGACTCTCGACAAGGGCAGACATCGCCTATCAAACCAAAGAGACCATTTGTGGAGTCTAATGTTTAAAAGACATTTGTTGGAGTGAGACCCATATGTTTTCACTGCACATTTTCAGGCTTGGTTTCCACATTTGAGGTAGTTCTCTGGCTTAATTTCTCATGTAGTTTCTGTGTGGTGTTCAGAGGTGGCAGCCCACATGCTGAAATCCTTTGCATGCAGCCGACTGGGAAGCTGGCCTCCGGTGAGCCAGGACTTCAGTTTCTGTGGTCTGTGCCCCAGCCACATGCTCTCTCCCTCTCTTCCGATGCCAACAAGGAGATTTTTGTGCTGTGTGCTTTAACCCAGGGAGATCAGACACACTGGTCAGCTTTTTCCAGGAGACAATCACTTTCATTGATGTTCTTGTTGTGTAAATGTCTTTTTCCTTTTTTAAAAAAGTAAGATATTCTTGTTCATTTTCTTCTAGGAACTTTAGAAAGAGTGTGATGCCCCCTTGCCTTTTCATTCTTATCCAGTGTTATCCAGACGGCCAGCTGCAATGCATTCCTGTGCCATGGTCTCCTCCCCATCAGCAGGTCTAGAATGTTCATTTGTATTATTGCTGGTCTTCCTGTGGGGTAAGAGGATCTAGGAATGGGGTAGGGAGGTGGTGAAAGAGAGAGAGAGAAGAAATAAATCTCTTAAACTGAAAGAAAACCCCAATATAATTATTTGAAATGTCTCTACATTGATTTTTCAAGAGGCATTTTAGGAACATTTAAGAAACAGCCAACCCTTTAAATACATTGACCAGTCAAGGAAATTCAATGAAAACTGTATTTTTTAACAATTCACCAAAAGTTACTCTCTCTGTTTTTAACCAACAGTTAACCACTAAAAGCTAATGATTTTCCAGGGGTAGGAAAGGGAATAAATACGTAGAGCATTTCTCAGTGATTGTAGACATCTGTCTTGAAACAGTCTACTTTTTCCATCTTGAAGCATCACTGAACATCAGATTCCACAAAAGCAAACTGTTCCAAAGATTGGCTGGCGCAATAATCCTGCTAGCTACATCTTTACCTAGATCCAGGCTTTGTGCTGCTGGCCCCCTGTTTTTCAAACCTAGATGGTGTTGTGAAGAAATTGATTCTTCAGCAAGCTAACTGGATTCTTTGGGAACTGTACAATTGATTCCCAGGGTTCTCATCTGTGGGTACTGCATTCCATGCCAGTTGGGATCCGATTCCATTTCAGATTCTAGTTTGATTGTCCACTCTTAAGAGGAATTCTTTCTGCACTTTTTGTAGGTGTGCTGGGGACAGGCGGGAGGATACTTGAAAATCAGAAACAGCAAAGTGTGACGACAGCCCTTTCAGCCCTGTTTTCTAACCCTGGGTAGGGGCACGAGACAGACAGCAGACGACTTCTCCCATCACCTTTCCACACCTTCTGGGTCTTACGGTTGTTTGTTAACCTAACCTTTAAATGGCTGAGGTGACTGTGAGATGGACAGTAAGAACAAAACCAAAGCCTGAGCGCATTCCTGGCACTGACTGCAACTCAGCCCAACACACTGAACAAAGGAGCATCGTCTTCTGTTCTTAGGAATAGTTCTGTTCTTGTTAATAAAGGGCTACAGGAAGGGCAGTTTCCTGAGTAAATCCAGCTTTGACCAGACATTTGTAATAAGTATTCTTTCATCTCAGTCTTTTGCTGATCATTAAGACATGGGGAGCATAAAGCTGAGATCAGAAACATTTCTTTACTAATTTAGATTTTGCCAAATAGATAGACTCCTCTGGCCCCCAAGCCTAAAACAGGCCAGGACTCATCTGTGAACCCTTTCCATTCTTTGATGTGTAAGGACTGCCTCCTACTCCCAGACTAGCCTCTACTGACCTGTCCATCTATTTATCTGTATCTCTCTCCATCTCTCACATCAGGAAGATGAAGTATGTAGCTGTAGTAGTACCTGCCCATAGCTGGGAGGCCAGCAGCCTCTCAGCCCCCTTTTTGGCCAAGTCACAGCCCTGTTGATCCCTTACTGTCTGATCCCACTTTAAACAACTCTCAGGGGGAGCTGCTACATTCTAAAGAATTTCTGTCTGTTAGAAAAGTGTCCCTACCGATTCGGAATGCCACACACCTGTCCAGGTGGGTCAGCAGGTCATGTGACCTTACAAATAAGCTATTGATGCCACTTCTCCACAGGATCCCTTATTCAGTTTTCTAGGAAAAACAAGAGATTTAGGTTTTACACCCCACTGGACAAAACACCTAGAATGTCAACAGTAAAAATGTGATTCTTTTTTTAGCCATCATAAGAAAGAGTGAATATCACAGCTGGGCATCAGTGGTTCTTGACTAGGAAAAGCCAACAAGAGTTTCCTAAAACAGAAGACAAGGGTCTTCCTCACGAACAGATTGCCTGTGCCCCGTTTTGCTATTTCACTGCCATGGAATGATCTTAGTACTGTATTTTAGCAATGCCCCTTCCCTAGCAACAAATATCTGCTGTATCAATATCAGGCTTCAGGAGGAAAGAAATCATAAAAGTAAAACTGGCAAGTTCTGCCCACACAACTCACATCATCCTGAAATGGAGACAGAGGTGACAAACTTCAGCTTATAGGTTTCTCACCAAAACGTATTGCATTTGCCCAGAACTCTAGCACTACTGGGTTTTCATCACATCATGTCTATAAATGGGTGCGCTTTACTGTTTGAATTTGTAACTCTGATAAATACTGGATATTTAAGTGTGAGTAGTGTCTTTAGAAATTAGCAGAATTGCTCTTGTCTTTTAGTGTATTTTTCAAGGAAAAGAAAGAAATCAAGCAGTGGATCACATTTATAGCACAAGAAATAACTTGTATATAAGCATCAAAAAGATTAAGAGTTTTTAAATACAAAAATATTTGCAGTGATTTTAAAGTGCTTTTCCAGCAATTTTCTTAGGGACTCCTGAGACATGGTTACTTTATTTACTGGATCAGTAAGGCACACAATTAGCAATTAAAAATTAATGTTTATTTACAAAGTAAAGGGAAAACCTGTGTAACATGAGAATTTGGCATGGACAAAATGGAGACCATTTTGTAGCTGCTGTTGTACATGTCCAGGTTGCAGACGTGCACTATTAAAGCCCCAAGTTAATAATAGAGCACAGCCCCTCTTGTTCCTCTCCCGTGCACCCCTCTTCTTAGATATGTTTAGCTTAAACTTGATGGCTCAGGAAAATCCCACTGATTAGAACTGTGTACAGTAACCCAGGTTGTGGTCCAGATATACAAGTTTACTGATTTTAGTTAAGCCTGGATTATTAGACACTTTTCCTAAATTATTGTAAACAGAACAGCCTAGAGACAAAGATATTATCACTCCTTATATTGTATAGTAGTTTATGAACCCCCCCTCTAAATATTGGTATTTTTATATTCCAGAGATGTACCCAGTATACAAATTTAAAATCAGCATCTAATTTAATATCCATAAGTATTTTTCCTTAGATTTTAGTCATGTAAGTGGGATAGGTGGACGTCACTTGTGCTTCACCATACTTTACCACTAGGTGTCACTGTGGCTCTGCAGCACCCTTACCTGCCACTTCCAGGGCAGCCTGCAGGCTCATAGACGTCAAGGTTCAGGAAGAAGGGAACTAAGGCCTGGAAGAGGTCTTCAAGCATCGCTACCAGTTGTAGCAGGACAGACTCTTTGAACACTACCTGCTTTGGATTTTTGTCCATAGGGAGAATGTAGAGTGTAGCTCCCTTGTTCTGGTGGACAGATGGGGATGCAGAGGACCATTTTCTTCCCCATGAACATCCCCCCCTCTCAGTTCTTTTTAGCCTCCAACTTTTATAACTCCAGAAGAATCATAGTTGGGTGGTGTGTTTCAAACATAGTTATTTTTCTACTGCAGAAATGCCTTGGACAAAACCAGTTGCTCACTGAATCTTTGCCACAAAACAAAACAGTCTTCCCCCGGAAGCAGGATGTGCCCCCACCCCCTGCCCGTCTCCTGTTGAGGCTCCTTAGTGCTCAGCAGCTTCGCCCACCCTGCCTGTCTGCCCCTGGGCTGCCCATTTCTCAAGAAGCTGACCTGAAAAGGTAACCTGCTGCCAGCTCCACACCGAGGGCCATGCTGCCCTGCTGCTTGCTTGCTGGGAGGTGTGGCTTCTTTTCCTCTAGGAATTCTAGACTGACCATCTACCATGACTAACAATGAACAAAGGGCTTAGGGGTAAGAGCTACCTACAAAGATATGTCATGGAAACCTTCACCATGCAATGCCTTGAACTCAGCTCTGGCTGCTCCCAAGGAAAGGTGGCTAGCTGGGGGCCTGGACACAAGCACAATGGGGCTGATGGAGCCACTGTGCAGAGCTACTTGAATAATCACTGGGTCTTCATCAGCTCCCTTTGTAATACAGACCACTCAAGGGCTGAAGTGTTGGTAACCTTCATTTCGGTGTCCATTGCCTCACAGCAGCTGAGCCACCCTGAGATGCTTGTGGCCCCATGATGGCCACAGTCAGAGCTTTGAAAGTCAGTACCAAATGGACGCATAGTTGGACACCAAAAATCAAGCGTTACTTTCATGTTTCCTCACCCTATCATCTCATTTCTTCCTGCTGACTCTGTGATGCTGCACTAAGCTGACCAGTCAGGTTGTAGCTGGATGCATGTATATGCAGCCAGCAGCGATCTTTTTTCAGACAGACCTACTCTGGAAAGGAAGTGGCCTACCTGCTTTGTTTTTGTAGCACTTGATGGCTGAATTTTTCTTTTGCTAATCACTAACCAGAAAATCTGGCTAGGACTCAATTCACTCCCTTCAGTCCCCAGGGCTACGTAGAGAGTTAGTTAATTCTGGAAAATTTAGTACTTGAATGTACCTGCCTTACTGTGTACCAATTCACTGGAGAGAGGTAAAAAAAAAAGAGAGAGATGCTGGCTCCAGATCTCTACTTCATTCACAGGTTATTTTGAAAACCCTGTAAGTTACACTTCTGTCCTGATTTTTTTGTTGTTGTTTTAACTTTTGGCTGATTCCTGCTGAATGGGGCCAGGTCCTTGTTAGGCTCAGAGCAGGTGCCATTCTCAGGCATGGCCACCTTTCCATCTAGCACAGCATCTGTGTCTCTGTTCTGTCTCCTCCAAATCCAAGATGATTTTAATTAGTACAGACATGTACAGTCTACAATTAAAGAGTGATTTGTATTAATATGATTTTGATTCTTCCTCTTTGCTGTCCTTTCAAGACACTTGCTGGAAAAAGCTTTAATGCACTTAGTTTTCCCGTAGGTTTTCTATAACTCAGATGTAAAGGACTTTCTCTGTACAGTATATTATCCAATGCATGTTTGTTCTCTATCCTGATATATTGAACACCACACAGTCGTGAACTCGTGCAGTGGGGATGCCCCACACAGCGGAGGCCTCTAGCCCCGTGTATAAGGAAGACATTTTCCTTTGCTGTACTTGCTTGAGCAGTTTTATTGTCTGTACATGTGAGCTGTGTGAGATAGATGTGAAAAGTTCAAATGAATGCATTTTCCTGCCCCATGTATACAGAACGTCATCTGTACAATGAACTGTATGTATGAAAGCAAATGTACTTATTTATAAATGGTTAACACTTGGAAAAACCTGGTGCGTGGTGCTTTTCTCCTGCTGTTGTCCAGAGAGCCAACTTCACCCTCACTGAGATGAGGATCCATCCCTCGGAAGAATTTGGAAGATTAAGGCTACAGCCGAATTCCTGATGATGTGGTTGATCGTGGGGTGTTCATAGTCACCCCTTCCTGCATCTGTTTACCAGTCAAGTTGCTGAGCACCTCCTCCAAGTTGGACACTGTGATGGGGCACTTAGGGAGCTGTGAGCACAGATGGGCTTGCTGCATTCATAGCGAAAGAAGCTTCTGTCCTTAGTGGAAACTGTACCAAGGAAGCACTATGTGCTTGCCTTTTTTTCTTTTTCAGTACTGACATTTGAACTAAGGGCCTTAGGCCTTCCAGGCAGACACTCTACCACTTGAGCCATGCCCCACCCCACCCCCACTACCCAGTCCTTTTTTTTGCTATAGTTATTTTCTCAAAGAGGATCTTGCATTTATACCTGGGCTAGCCTGAGCCACAGTCCTCCTAAATTTATGCTTCCCGTGTACCTGGAATGACAGGTGTGTACCACCATGCCCAGGTTTTAATGGTTGAAATGAGGTGTATATGCAGTACTGGAGTTTGAACTCAGGGCCTTATGCTTGGTAGGCAGGGGTGAGCCATGCCTCCAGCCATGGCTTTACATTTCCTTCAGAAATCTGGCCAAACTTCCAATTCTTGCCAGATAGAAAGCTAAGTTGTGTGGTAAACAGAGAAGCTGCAGGTTTCCTAAAACAGGCTCGATACCTTAAAAATAAAATCCCACACTGAGCCCTGCATCCTTTCCTGCCTAACTGGAACATCTGTCTACTTCAGAGACAAGAAAGGAAGACCACTTCCTCTAGACATCAGATTGTGCTAAAAACTAAACAGCATTCCTACGAGGTAACTACATCTACTTTCCCAAACAACCAAAGCCTGAGGAAGCAGGAAAACTCCAGGCCACTCACAGTCATCCCAACCAAAATCTCCTTCAGAGAGCAGATGACACTGGGAGGAACCATCTGCTCCATCTGAAAACCATTCCACTTGCATTAAAAATCAAAAGGGAATAAGTGGTTGGCAGAACCCCAGCTTTTAAAGGATTCCCAGAGCATTGGAAGAAAGGAGAACAGTTGTGATAGGTTAAAAACCAAATTCTTGAAAAGATTTGCCCTGAACCTGAACTGAAAGCCACTCATAGCAGAGCAGACAGTGAGCTCAGCAAATGCCCTTGTAGATTCTCAGAGGTTCCTTGTTACTTGGTTATCTAATAGGTGCCGTCTCATAACTGTTAGTAAGTGGGTGAGCCACTGTGTGCATCTGTTGTGGGAGCCCGACTCCCTCCTACAGGCTAGAAAAGGGTAGGCAGAAACCAAGTGAGGGTCCACAGTGGCCCCTTTCGCTTTCCCTCTGCCTCCGCACTCTGGCTAGCCCTGGACTTGACGAAGTTTAGGATCTGTGCCAAGCCATGTGCTCTGAATGCATTTAAGCAACGACGGTCCACAAGGAAGGCTTGATTCAGGAGTAAGGCTGCACAAAAGACCACTCGGGTCTGACTCCTAACCATTAGAGAACAGCTACAGAGGATAAGAGTGAACACATGCTAGGAAGTAACTTACTTACAAAAGTGACAGGATTTGCTGAAGGCTCCCTTTAAGTAGCTCCCCAGTGAGGAGGTTTCTTGTTTCTTGCTGTTCTGGGCCTTACACAGGCTAGGCAAGCTCTCTATCACAGAACTACATTGCCAGCTCTTGTTATTTTAAGATAGGGTCTCACTGTGTAGCCGACGTTGGCCTTTAACTCACAATCCTCATGCCTCAGCCTCCCAAGTGCTACAATTACAGGTGTGCACCACCACAGCCAGCATCCCAGTGAGTTAGGTTGCTTTAAGCAAGGGACATAGTGTATTATGTGCATAGTGGGATCCCACCCAAGTTTACCATAAACCCAACTCCTGCCTGAGTCATATAAATTGATTTCAAGTGGAATCTCAGCTTATTCTAAAAGCTTTGTTCCTCTTCTTAAGGACCAAAAAGATGTTAAAAACGACAATGGTCAAGTGAATGCCGTGCTGGGTGCTGCCTGCTTTGGGCACTTCCTCTGGCCATCACTGTTGAGAAAAGGGCTTATTTGACATGAGGGAGAGCCCCTCCACACAGGAGGATCCATGCGCCCCATGGATCCATTTCTGTCATATGCTGAGAAACACCACCAGTCACTTTACCTTCTGTGCTCAGCCTCGGGACAATTTCTCTCAACCCTCATAGAGCTACTTCCACATATCTGACTGCTAAAGGTTCTGGCTCTCTGCCTTGCTGCAATAAATGAAGATCACAGGCAAGCGGTCTGCTGAAGACATTTATTGACTTATCTGTTGCACAGGAGGTGGGCCACAGGCAAACAAAAGACACCATACACATCTGCTTGGGTCCTTCTTTGGTCCTTAGTCATCTATGTACACTTTGGTAAGCAGATCGGCTTACAGGTTCATTACAAATGTATGGTTCCAATTCTCTGTAGGTCCTGGCAAGGGAGACACTCAGTTACACTTTGGTGGTTTGTATAGAGTGAGCTCCCCACATGGACACATTTAACTACACAAGCGTGTGCCCCGTGATTAAAGAACTGACAAGATTTCCTGTCCTTGCAGCGGACATCATTGAAATGGGGTGAGCATCATCTTCCTAGCAGGTGAGAGGAGATGTGAAGATGGCTGGAGAGTGTGGGCAGCTCCAGCTGGGAAAGGAGCCCACACCCCAGCTCCCAGCTAGGAAAAGTGACATCACTAGAGACAGGACCCACCAGCCAATGATTAGGAATCTCAGTGACAGAGAATGCCAGTGTGTTTCTCTAAGGCAGCACTTAGGTGGGTACAGGGCAACTGTCAAAATAATAGTCAGGTTTGGTAACCAATACAGTTGTCACTTAAGTCCACTGTGTCTGTCTCAAACTGTCAGGCTCCTCAAAACAAGGAAAATGGGAGCGCATTCGCCAGCCCACCAAGCACAAGATCAATGTTCTAATCACATCATTTCTAGACTAAAGCCAGACAGTGACTCAGCTAACAACATAAAACACACGGGGCAGAAGCAATGTGCAGACACCGTAGGGCAGGCATTCATCTCATTCTGCCTTGGTCCCAACATCCTGCAAAGATGGACCCAGATGAATGAGGAAAAGCTCACACTCCAGAGCAGAAGCCGCTGTGGGTAGGTGAGAGCTGCGCCCTCAGCCCACAGAGCCTGCCTGAGTGCCAACCAGAGCTGAGCCTCACCACTGCGGGAGGGAGCACTACAGCAGAGAGCTGTGAGGCAAGTGTGGCTGAAGCCATGAAATGTCTACCCCGGAGCTCGTGGGTTAAGTGCTTTCCAGCAGTGCCCCTCCCTCTCCTGGGTCGTGTGCTTTGCGAATAATGTCACTTGCTCCACTGCCAAGCACTAATTCGTGCTCCACAGGTTCGAATTCACGCTACACAAAGCTGCACTCTTGGCTTTGCTTCCCTGCCCTCACTCCAGACATCTGCCTTGAGGGTGGAGCCACTCATCAGCTCCTCCAGGGATCCACACTTCTGCCACCACCTTGATGCCCAACCTCCCGCCCAAAGTCTTTGAAGGGGCAGCCTGTGCTGGACTCACCAGATGCGTCTACAGTGCAGTGAGGAAGGAAAGCGGAGGACAAGCCCTAACCCAGAACCCAGTGAAAGCAGACACACTGTACCCACACTCCCTCCTCTGACCCAACCTCCCACAGAGACTGAAGACTCTCGGCCTTAGCAGGGGTGAGCAAAAAGATGCCTACAGGAACCCCACAGAATCGAGGGAGCCACCCCCACCGGGCCCCTGCCCAGGACGAGGGCTGACCATTACTGGGAGCTGGGACTGTCTCCCTCCGTCAGCCTCTTGAAGTCCATGGAAAGGGCTTGCTCTTCAGCCTGGGGAGGCCGCTTCCAGTCAGCTTGAGCCAGGACGTAGAGCACAACCACCCCAAAGCAGACCAGCAGCAGGCCCAGCACGTTGGCCAGGACCCCCTCAGGCTGGAATGTGCTGTACTTGACCCTACAGGGGAGGACAGAAGGGAGAAGCCACCCAACAGGTCCCAGTTGGCCCAAGTGCCATTCCTATGCTGCACCTTAAGGATGCTTTGGTTTGGCAACATCGACCCCCCCCCACCGTCCCTCCCAGAAAGAAAACCCACTGCTGCCTAAGTCCACAAAAAAGCCACTCAGAAAGCAAACGTCCAGCAAAATGGAGGCTGTCCCAAGACACTCACCCAAGCTTAAACAGCAGCGCTTCCTTCAGGCCCAGCAGGGCTGTGCCCACAGATAGGACAAAAATGGTGGCACCAAAGAAGACATGCTGAGGGCGATAGCGGTTCCGAAGAGAAGATGAAGCTCCAGGAAACAGGAAGAAGCTGAAGCCCATAAGCCACTAGAAGAAAAACAAGAGATGATGTTGGACAGTGCGGAGGCCTCCAAGGCAACACCTGCATCTCCCACTGGATCCCCATCTTAGGAGCTGAGGCAGAGGGAGGAAGCACTTATGAGGAAAGGGTCCTGCTCCCGATACTTGAAATCTTTTGTCTTGAGCCTTGAACCTATTCCGAAAGTTCATCACACCGTGTACTGCAGGAGCTGGGCTTGAGACCAAACACACAGGTCACATCAGCAGAAAGGGAGGAAGGGTGCAGGGTACCCTGGCCAAGAAGTCCTAGGGTTATACCCATTTCAGCCTCTGAAGGCAGAATTCAACCACCTACCTTTGAGCACATACCCTGGAAAATGGGCCCCTCTGTTGCACACTTCAGCCTGACTTCTCTTTCCCTCACCTCCCCTGTCCCTTGCTAGTAGCTCAGAACCTGGGGTGCTGGAAAGTCTCACCTGCACAAAGTAAAGGACAAAGACAAGGAGCCCGCACCAGCTATGCAGGCTGTACAGGTCCGCATAGCCCTTCTTCTTGTGGTAGTCGAACACCGCAACCAAGCCTGGACCAGAGACAGGGGCCATGTGAGGACAGGGTTGGATATGGAAAAGGGAGGAGGTGGATGACCAGAGGGAAACCATCTACCGGCCTTCTGGGCTTTGGTCCGGCCTGAGGATGGCCTGCACCCAGTGTCCCTGACTGGGATGCCTGTGGGAGAGAAGAGGAATGGGGTGGGACTCCACAGCTTTGGAGAAGAAATGGCACGCATCCAGGTGCTGCCGCCCAAGCCCAAAGCTGCAGGTGAGGAAAGGGGAGGATGTAGCCTAGAACTCACCCACCAGGGCGATGATGAACGCAAAGATGTGCAGCAACCCGTGCAGGACCTTGGTCGTGCGTTTGGCCTCTTTCCTGAAGACCCGGTAAACCAGCAGGGCTTACAGGAAGGAGAAGGGGAGTGTGAGTGCGTTAGTGGCACTGGCCAAGCAGCAAGGAGGCGAGCACTGGCTAGACACTGATCTGCATTAAAGGCTTGTCGAGGATTGCCAGTCTTAGGAAGTGGAGGAGAAAGAGGGCTCTGTGGGACCTTGTGCAGCTACTGACCTTTGCAGAGGGCATTCACCACCTGCCCTGTCCACCCCACACACCATGCACACCCAGAGGCCAGGATAGGAGGCTATGCCAAGCTTTCTGCCAACACAAGAGGTCTGCCTTCAGTCCCCACCCACAGCAACTGTGTAGCCCAGTAGACACCTCACCTCTACTCCACCTGCTTGCCAAGAATACTGTGAATTCATTCATCTGGGTGTTTCGGGTTTATGGTGCTGTCACACTGAGGTGACAGCCAGACACTGAGTATAACTTTTAGCAATGTTGCTCCTTGGAGAGCCCAATATCGAAGCCTGACCAGAGCACTGCTGTTCTTGGGAAACAGCTTTTGGGTTCCCAGAGTGGACCCTGTGATCCCAATCTAATCCCCACTGCCCCAGTGAGCAGGGCCAGGGCCCCAGAGATGCATCTTAGGATCTGCTAAGATCCTAAGGTGACTGCCACCAGGACTACCTCTAGGAAGAGATCCAGCACCCTGGGCCCCTGGCCTGCAGACAAGATGCAGGCCATGCACTGCCTGGCTCCCATCCCGGGGACAGGAGCTCTAGCTCAGCCACGACCAAGTGCAGCAAGACATACATGCATACACATCTTTCTTTCTTACTTTCCAGCCACCCCTGAAGACAGCCTTACTCACAGCTGGGCCCTGGCTCTCTGCTCTAGAAGGTGCACACACATATTCACACACACATACACAAGCATACATACATGCACGCACACACATGCACACGTGTGCACGCATGCACACGCACACACCAGGGATGCCCCTTGCTGAGGCAAGAGGAAGTGCTGGGATCACTTGCAGAGCAGCTGCCACCCACCAGGTTTCAGATTTGGGCTCTGTCTTCCCAGGTTCCATCTGGCTTCCTTCTCTGTTTTTTCCAGAATCCTTCATTTGTCTAACTGAAAGATTCAGAGGTGACAGAGTCCCTGCAAACTGCCTCTCCCAGCAACAGCCACACACCAAGGTGGACCTTGGGAGCTGGCACCATGAGGACTTACCATCACCCTGCAGGAAGACCATGCCTACAACCATGCAGAGGGGGTGCACGTTAAACTGCTGGGCACCTTCCCAGGCAGTGCCACCTCTGTATAGACCCAGCCAAGCACCGGTCATGGCCACCACAGTCAGGCCCAGCAGCTGGGAGAAGAACACGTAGTACGGCAGCACACTAGGCGTGGATGCCAGGCTAGTGCCACTCTCCATAGTGAGGCTGCTGCTGCAAGAAAGACACAGAGCTCAGAAGAGACACCCACCACCTCCAAACGTGCCCCACCTCCACACATCACCCCTGCCACCTCCTCTCCCCCTGTGCCAAAGCAGCGCTGCTTGCTCTCCCACCCACAAGACACCTCCCTGCCACTGTCCTAGGGCAGGGTCCCCAAGTCCCAAGAGCAGTACAGCAGGAGGCCCAGCCTTCGCATGGAGATGGACCTGACCTGAGTTCCACGTGCAAGGAGGGCACAAAGGAAGACACCCCAGTTCTGATGGGAGCATGTGCCCCAGCCTATACGGTATTTGTCTCATGAGGTTTTCTCAGGGGGGTTACAGGTAAATCACAGAGAAGTGAGCACACTCTTAGTATGCCTCCCATCTTCACCTCTTCCCCTTCCCCCATTTTTAAGCTCCAAGCTAGAGATGAGGGTGAGTCCTCCCCACCCCCACCCAGAGCTGCTCTGGCCTGTGGAGTAACTGTGCCCTGCGCTGCTGAGCCCTCAGTGTCCTTTCCTTCCTGCTGTGCTCCCAAACTGAGAGCAGGTAAGGGCTGCTCTCCTCCCTTAGGCAAGGTTTGCAGAACTGAAAGTGTCAGAACTGCAGGTGACTGGATAAGGCCCTACTCAACTCAGCCAACCTCTGCGCAGGAAGGCAAAACAGGGACGTGGCTATTTAAGGAGGCTCCAGACAGCCTGGCTCAGGAGACCCATACGAGGTCCCAGTGTACACACAGCCTCCCTGCACGCACAGCCTCACTGCTCTCGACAGCCTCAGGCCAGCTCCCCACACCATACTGCAGGTCCTTCTGTGCCCACACCCGGCCCCTAGACAGCCAGAATGGGTGGAGAGAGGGCCAGAGAGGAACAGGCATGGCCCTGGCTTCCTTTCTGTTTGTCTTGGTGTTGGCAGCAGCCTGGGCTCCCTGCTATGGCTGGACGCTACCACCACCGTCCCCACCAGAAGATGTCAGAGTGCCACTCGCCCCCTCCACAGACAGCTACAGCTGTTCTCCACTGCCTCTCCCAGCAGCAGTGGGTACCAGCAGGGAGGGTGAAAGCAGCAAACAGAGGCTTGGTGGTGGCCTCTCTAGCACTGGCCCTGCAGGAGTGATCAGGCTCTGCCTCCACTCTCCAGTTCTCTGCCACACCTGACAACTGTTGGCAACTCTTACCATTTAAAAAAAAAAAAAAAAGGAAGAGGGCTGTTAGTACTGTCCACTCCCTGGACGAGAATATGGATAAGCAAAGAAAAAAGTTACAAGCATCAACATTTGATTTATATCCTTACATGCTTTTCTATCCCAGAAAATATATACTTTTTTCTTTTTGGTGGTACTGGGATTTGAACTCAGAGTCCCGTACACATATACAGATTTTTCCAGAAACAGGATGGTACCATTTTCTAACCTACTTTTTTAATGTAATATCATGCATATTTTATCATGTAAACGAACACACATGCACCTCACGGGTGCAGACTTCACACTTCTGCATTGCACAGCTGTTTGTCTCTTAGCCAAGACCCCCAGGTCCCTGCTTAGCCAAAGCTTAGGGCATGGCTTTCAGTTCTTCATGAGGTCACCTTACCAGGCAATGTTCTTTGCACACTTGTCCCCGGCAGGGCTAGCCAGGTTTCTTGTCAAGGTTTTGATACATTCTGTCAAGTCATCTACCATAAATACAGCTCAGACTGTAAACTCCCACAGCGGATGGGAGTCCTGTTCCAAAGTCCTGACCAACATGAACCACTATTTCTAGAACTCTTGCCACTGTCCCTGTCACTACACATATGACTGCAAAATCTCATGCCAATCCTATGCTCCCTCTTAATTCCAACCCCACATCTAATGGCCCACAGTGCTTCTCCACCTAGACATCTAACACTGCATACTCATCCAAGGTCAAACTATCCCTATCGTAACCAAATCGTCTTGACCTCCTTCCCAGCCGGTGGTGGGAAGGAGGTGGTGCCCTCCTCTTGACTTGCAGTGTGCACCCTGGCCCCTCCACAGGCCAAGCAGCTCAGGGGCTCCTGGGGGCTCTGCCATTACTTCCCTCCTGGCCACCCCAAGTCAGGGCATGCAGCCTCTCCCTCTCCAATCTGCCTGACAATCCAGGGACAGACTAGCTCCCTGGGTCCTGTCCCCACCTCCCTGCCAGTGAAATGCCAGCTGTAACACAATCTTCCCTTGCTTCCTCCTGAAGCCCTACTGTGCTCCTACCAGGTCCACATGGGTGGAGGAGGCTCTCCTGGCTCCCCAGGGCCAACAGCACAACCTGCTGCCTGTCCTGCCTCCCTTGGTGGACCCCAGCTCCCAGCTGTCTGCTCCCTGCACATGCCCCATAAAGTGACCCGCTCACCACTTTGTCCCCAGTGCCCAGCACTGGCCCCTCCTCTTTGTCCCCAAGGCTCCTTAAGCTTCCTTACCCCTCAGGTTGAGTCTTAGGTTAGTCCCGGGCGCTTCTCCACCAAGAGGCCCTGTCCCTTCTTGGAGGAAGGGAGGGTATCTTGTCCTTCTCTTAGCGTATCTAATACCTTGCCCCGACTAGTGCAGAAGATGTCCTCCTCTGGTCACTTGTCCTGTATCCTCTCCAGGCCACCTCCTCCCTTATTAGATTCATCCCCAGAGAGCCAAGAGCGCAGTCAGAATCTGATTAGCCCCCATCAGGAAGAACAGAAGGAACACTGCCCTGAGGCAGCTGACCTGCCACAGCTTCTTTATGCCACGTAGACTACAAAGGGCAGAGCAGGGACTTGCTCGGCCATAGCCTGCTTTGTCTGGCTCAGCCTGAGACAGGCAGAAACCCAAGTGAGTTTCCCTTCACAGGGCAACGAATGAGTGTGTGACTTTCCCATCCAAAGCCAAAAAGTCAGTCCTGATTTCCTTGGGAAGTCAGTGCTGAGTGCAGCTTGCAGCCAGCAAATCAGAGTATGTGGCTCAGGGAGGGGTGGGTGACCCAACAGCCAGTGAGCTCTGCACCAGGTACTTCACAAACTCCCTTTAATCCTCAACAGAACACTGTGAGCATTAGGAAGGGGTGTTACTCCAACTTGCCAGATGAAGAAATTAGGGCTCAAAGAGAAGACAATGAAAGACAAACCCTAGATGACTGCCAGCAACAGCTTACTGAGCTGCTACTGACCGCACTGCTAGATTCTGGGGCTATCCCAAAAAGACTGGCTCCCTGCCCCCAAGGGCCTGCGACAAGTTACAGCAGATGTCACAAGGAAGGGCAGTAAAAAGTCCAAGCCCTTATTTCTTTCTTGTTCATTTTCAGCAATACTGGGGTTTGAACTCAGGGCTTCATGCTTACCACTAGAGCCAGGTCTCCAGCCCCACCCTTCCTTTATCAAAGGGAGCACCCCTCAGGGTCTCCCACCCAGGGGTCTAGGTCTCCTGCTGGCATTGTGCCAGCACTTTCTAATGCCCAGTAACAAGGGTGACACTGTCACATTTTCCAAATACTGAAGTCAATCTAAAATCTGGCAGCCCTAGCTGAGGAAGTCACTTTGACATGGTTTCCATGGCAGTCCTCCCCCTCCCACGCCAGCCTCCTGCTCCCTGCTCACCCAGCCGTAGCACCAAGCACCTATGCTGCCTGTGGCTCTCCTAGTAGAAATAGGTCGGTGAGAGAAAAGGGGTTTCAAGAGGGTAAGTGAGCCACCAGGACAGCTCTCTTGGGCCATACAGCCTGGGGAACTGGGAGACCAAGCCCACAGGAGGAAGCCAGAGATGAAGAATGACTTTAGGATCTACAAGGGTCTTTGGATGTGAAGGTGATGCTGCAGGAATCAGGAAACCCACTAACAACAAGCAGGACCACCTACCTTGGGTGGGCCGACACCTGCAGTCACTAAGTATGGAAAGTTGAAATTTATAAAAAAAGACAAAATAACACTGGGCATGGTGGTACATGCCTATAATCCCAGCATGTGGGAGGCAGAAGCAGAAGATCAAGAATTCCAGGCCCAGGATTGATGGAGTGGCTCAAGTAGTAGATCTCCTGCTTGTAAGCATGAAGCCTGAGTTCAAACCCCAGTAGATCAAAAAAAGAAAGAAAAAAAGAAAGAATTCCAGGCCTGCCTGGGCTACATAGTAAGCCTCAACAAAATAAAAAAGACAAAATATTGAGTGGTGGTTCTGTGCTTTACAAATGAATGGAAGGAAGCCAGATGTGATAGTGCACATCTGTAATCCTGGCACCCTGAGGAAGGATGATTGCCAGGAAGAGCTCAAGTTCACGGCCAGTTTGTGCTACACAGCAAGACCCTGCCTCAAAACAAAGAAACAGTGAGTCAAAGGAGTGTTTGGTAACAGGACTCCCCCACTGCTGCTCAGTTCAACATAACGGATAGTTCTCTGCACCCAAGGAGGCACTGGGACTCAGATACCCCAATGTCTCTGGACAGAAGCTGACCAGCCTGTGGAGCATTTGCCAGCCTTGAAACCATTTGGGATTTGCTCCCTGGTAAGCAAGTGCCTTTAAGTCATAGGGTAGCCCCACACTGCAGGCTTTTCTTGGCCTTTGCACTCCCACAGCAGAACTGTGGGCTGCAGCTTTAAGAGCCTGGAAGTGACCACACTCTCTACTCTTGAGGTTCCTTCTGCCCTGGCCCCCTCTCCGTCCCCCAACCCACCACAGTCCTTTCTTTTTCTTTTTTTTTTTTTTTTTTTTTGAGACAGGTCTCAAAATGAACCCTAAGCTCTAAATCCACCTGGCTCAGACCAAAATCTTGCAACCAGAAAGTGTTCATGTGGCCCTTTACACAACTACTCTCCTTCCTCTCTGAGAGCACAGGATGAGGGTGACAGATCTGTGGCAGCTTCTGGAACCTTTGGCTCTGACAATCAAACATGCCCACCCCAGTGCCTACACACTGCCTGCATTGGTTGCTCTCTTAATACAATTAAACAGAAACACAGCTGCCCCTAGGCTTAACCTGTGCTAAGCACCACACTCCCTCCCCATGCCCACTGTTTTATTAAAAGGCAGCCAGGCCTGATCTCATTACTGGAGACCAGACACTGCACATGC